TTTGAACGTATGTTCGAATAACATTATTTCTTACATTTCTGAGAATGTTCCCTGTTAGCTGGGTAAGCTCATGCACTGTGAGCATTGCATCGAATTAATTCATGCATTTCGCAAGAAGATGGTGTGTGTTCACAGCACATACCCTTCCCTCACTAGATTCCCGCCGTCTCATTCACTCGGATATGTCATTGCTTACATTGCATGAGTTTCCACTGTGGGGTAGGGATAAATTAAGTGCGAACTGCTGTGACATCACAATCATGGGGATTTGTGGTCTGTGAAACTGCCTGAAGTGTACATGTTGAGTAGACTTGCTCCCTCAGTCAAAATCCAGGGTCCCACATATCTGTCCAAATAAACTTCCCTCGTCCACTTGAGGACGTTGAAAGCACTTTAAAATGGTGAGTGGGATTCCCCTGAGAGGAAGTGCTTGGGGAACTTTGCAAGGGTATGTCTTAAAGTGGAGTTAAACACAGCCATGCTCACAGTGCTTGAATTTGCTCACTCATTCAGTGGACTAGATTGTATGTGTAGAGAAATATGGGAAATACTGATTTTGTATACAGCCTATTAATCAGATTGATTAAATAGGAAAAAGGGCAGCTGCCATGTGTATGATGATGGATTATACTAATGCAGGTGGTGTCACGTTTCGGGTGCTGGTGTAGGACAGAGGAAAAGGGCCTCATAGGCAGGAAATAGAGAGGACCCAGCTGTCACCCAAGGCCCCAGAGAAAATCCCTGACCTAGAGGAGGGAATGGTAAGCATGCAAGGTGCAAGAGAATAGCATGGAAAGAACAAACGCATACATAAATTGACAGATTTTATCCAGGGACAAAGAAACAATTTACAAGAACTCTTAAATCTTGGATTAGATGAGTTTTCATCAATACAAAAATCGAATTTTAAAATCGCAAACTAAATTGTATGTACAGATGAGGGCTATAAACGTTATAGAGAGCAATGATGACATATTTTTGTAGGCCAGTTCTGGAAGCATCACCATCCCTCAACAAAAACACAATAGGATTTTTCCACTGGCTTTGTTCCACTGGCTAACTAAGCTCTGTGACCAACACAAGTTTAGGATTTTTACATATTTTTTTTCAAAGTATGCTTTTTTAATGGTTAAAATAATGCAGCTAGAGCTGCAAAACATCACGAGGAGAGGTACACTCTTGCTGATAGTGCCGATATCACCCAACCAATCATGGTTTCCGAAGCTGGTGGAACTAATTGTCGATAACTCCTCTGTAGTCGATACATGGGCTTGCATGGACTGTATGGCAGGTCAGTGTGCGGAGTGAGCCAGCTGGCTGAATCGCAACAATGGCTAAGCACAATAGCGGAGGCAAGAGCCCCTTCAACAAAATGCTTTTACACCGTTAAGTGGAAGGTGTTCGCAAACTGGTGTGTGGGCAGAGATGAGGACACTCTAAACTGTGACGTGACCGTAATTCTGGCTTTCTTTCAAGAGCGGCTGGATGCTGGCAGCTCACCCTCTATGCTGATGGTTTATACACTCACCTAAAGCATTATTAGGAACACCATACTAATACTGTGTTTAACCCACTTTCACCTTCAGAACTGCCTTAATTCTACGTGGCATTGATTCAACAAGGTGCTGAAAGCATTCTTTAGAAATGTTGGCCCATATTGATAGGATAGCATCTTGCAGTTGATGAAGATTTGTGGGATGTACATCCAGGGCACGAAGCTCCCGTTCCACCACATCCCAAAGATGCTCTATTGGGTTGAGATCTGGTGACTGTGGGGGCCATTTTAGTACAGCGAACTCATTGTCATGTTCAAGAAACCAATTTGAAATGATTCGAGCTTCGTGACATGGTGCATTATCCTGCTGGAAGTAGCCATCAGAGGATGGGTACATGGTGGCCATAAAGGGATGGACATGGTTAGACACAATACTCAGGTAGGCCGTGGCATTTAAACGATGCCCAATTGGCACTAAGGGGCCTAAAGTGTGCCAAGAAAACATCCCCCACACCATTAAACCACCACCACCAGCCTGCACAGTGGTAACAAGGCATGATGGATCCATGTTCTCATTCTGTTTACGCCAAATTCTGACTCTACCATCTGAATGTCTCAACCGAAATCGAGACTCATCAGACCAGGCAACATTTTTCCAGTCTTCGACTGTCCAATTTTGGTGAGCTCTGGCAAATTGTAGCCTCTTGTTCCTATTTGTAGTGGAGATGAGTGGTACCCGGTGGGGTCTTCTGCTGTTGTAGCCCATCCGCCTCAAGGTTGTGTGTGTTGTGGCTTCACAAATGCTTTGCTGCATACCTCGAATGAAACGAGTGGTTATTTCAGTCAAAGTTGCTCTTCTATCAGCTTGAATCAGTCGGCCCATTCTCCTCTGACCTCTAGCATCAACAAGGCATTTTCGCTCACAGGACTGCCACATACTGGATGTTTTTTCCCTTTTCACACCATTCTTTGTAAACCCTAGAAATGGTTGTGTGTGAAATCCCAGTAATTGAGCAGATTGTGAAATACTCAGACCGGCCCGTCTGGCACCAACAACCATGCCACACTCAAAATTGCTTAAATCACCTTTCTCTCCCATTCTGACATTCAGTTTGGAGTTCAGGAGATTGTCTTGACCAGGACCACACACCCCTAAATGCGTTGAAGCAACCGCCATCTGATTGGTTGATTAGATTATTTCATTAATGAGAAATTGAACAGGTGTTCCTAATAATCCTTTAGGTGAGTGTATTTTACGGTCTGTTTGTTTTGCTATAATCTAATTAACATAAGACCTCTCCTTCCAGGAAGCTTGATTCAGGTCACTGGAAAACGCTATCTGAGGGCCAGATGTTGTTAAGAGTGATGAGGGTGTTGCAATTTGGCATCCATGTGCCAATCCCTCATGCTGTCTGCCAAAGCTGTTATCCCACCAGAACCCTGGAAATAGATTGAGCAATGTTGAATAGGTTAAGAGTTTCCAATGTATTTATCGCAACATAGCTCCTCTCGGAACTGTAATGATGCTTATATAATAAATACTATATTCCTTTATTGTACACGTAGTCACAACAGATTACTAGTAAATCCACTGCTTCAGGTTATTTGCTGTTTTGATTTTTTTTTATGTGTGTATATATATATACATATATATATATATATATATATATAAACAAACTTTCTCCCTCTATCACACATGCAAGTGCATGTAAAAAAACATCCTTCTATTCTCGGCCCTTATTAATTAGTCTAGTGATCATCCTTGTTGTTGTGAGAGTATCCTGGCAACCACATCCAGATATTGAAGGATTGAGTGTCATAACGATGATGTAACATTACTTGTGTCTAAAACTGTCACCTCGTGTCTAAAACGGTCATCTCATGACTTTGAAATATATTTAAAAAATAGATTAATGTTGCTAAGAATTTTGTATATTTTTTAATTAAAAGATTAAAAACACTGCAACCAATTCAGTATGAATTTTGACAATTTAAATGACAATTTAAAATTACAATTAGTAAATACATATAAAAAGGCATATAGACATATTTTAATACTAGTGAATGACAACATGAATACTGTGTGCTATTACTGGGAGAATTAAAAGCAAACATTCTTTTAATGGTGTTATGTCACCTGAACTGAAGTCGTATTGATTTAATAAAGATTTAAAGGGTTAGTTCAGGCAAAATTGAAAATTCCGTCATCATTTGCTTGCCCTCATGTCTACAAAAAAATAAAAAAAAAAATAAAAAAAATAATAATAAAAATACTAATCTCATTTTTACATTGTCAGTACAACTTTTTTTGTTACCAGCATTCTTCAAAACATCTTTTGTGTTCTGTAGAAGTCAGTCATATGTTTGAAACAACATGACATTTTCATTTTTGGGTGACCTATCCCATTAATGATTCTGGTAAAGGACACATCGAATAAATTGTGACAGTTCAACCAAAACGGTAATTGAAAAAAAAATGCATATTTAACAAGACAATGATTTGTGGGATTTTAGTTTAAACTCTGTGGAATGCAATTAGAATAAAATATAAACATAGAACATTCATCCTCATTATGTGCTAATCATTTAGTAATATAATTCTGAAATATAAAAACAAAACCCATGCAATGCAACATGCACAAATTAGCATTCATATGATTCTTACAATAAAATCATCAGTTAGAACTGATATTCATATAAATAAGTCGATAAATAAACTCACTGAGGAAATATCACAACTATTTCCTTTTGTCAATGAACATCCATGATCATCACAGCTACATTTTTTCCGGAATTAACCTAACCAAGAAAAAGAAACTCATTTGGTCCCTAAAACCAAGTACATCCAACAAGTCCTAAATTGGAGCAATTGTGAATGTGTTTAAAGACTGTCACTGCAAAACATATCAGTATACTTAATGGTTTCATGATGCATGTTCTGAATCCCATGAAAAAAATCCCCCAAAATCTTTGTGCTAGTCTAAAATGAATGTGTATCTGAACAAAAATAATGCAATATTGAGGAGAAAAGCACACTTTTACAATGAATACTACGACTAATATCTTCACTTCCAAGTGAACAATATAGTATATTACCTTCTTCACCATATCTGCAGTTTGCACTCTGATGCCCAAATGTGTATGTAAAACGCATACAAACAATGTCAACAAAACCAACATGGCGTCATGACTTTGCGTAAACATACACACCACTTTCGAGTCAAGTGGTGTGTTATCTATACGCATTTTGAGCTATCCGCGTGTATGTCCACGCCGAAACGAACCGGCATCTTTTGCGTGTATGTCTACGCCGTTAAATGTCCGAATGATTCCGAAACGAAGCAAAGTGTAGATCTACATCTGGGGAGCGATATTTTTTTTCCCAGGATGGTAGGGGAAGACTCATAAATGCTATTAACCCCAGTGACGGGTAGGTTTACGGACGGGGGTGGGGTAGGTCATATATTTATATATACAGTAATGTAACGTTAAGTCAACGGCATTCATAAACGCGCTGAAAAGCGATTATGCGTGTTGATAGCACGCCAAAAATGGAAATACGAATTGGCGTGTCATACATACGGTCAGTCTGACAAAACACTTGATCACTCCACTGAAGGTTGCTAAAAATACAGCTGTTCCCTGAAAACACTTGGAATCACACCCTGCTTTTATGTGACTGTTTCAATTTTGCAGGGATGACTTACTGTAGTTTACAGATAGCACATTAACCAACACACTCTTACTGGTCAGTCTCTGCAAGCCCTGCCCTCACAGAAACCTCCCTGTCTTCTTCAACACCAACTCAGGGTTCGGTTACCACAGTGGGCGAAAGAAATACAACTCCACCACTGAAACCGATCAGCTCCTTCAGAAGCAAGCTGTGTTCGCTGTGCGGGTGCGTTTGTGTTAGTCACACGATCTCGTCTGATTCCAAGCCGTACTCCTCATAGAGAGAATCCAGGATGGACAGCTGCTTCCCCATAGCTGGAAGGTAGAAGTCCAGGTCTCGGTGCATGCCGGTCTTGAAACCCTCCTTCAGCTCATCGCCTTCATGAGAAACCAGAGCAGCCATGAAGCCCTCGTAGGACGGAGCGGCCCGTAGAGCCAGCTAACATACACAAACACAAAAACTGAGTCAGAAGGCCTAAGGGGATTTGAATGCATGTTGTCAGAGTAGGGGGAGGCTGCAGACATATATAAACTCACAACGACATGTTTTACTCAATCTCCTGTATATAAAAACCTACGGCCTATAACTGCAGTAGGTCATATCATTAAAGAGAGTGAAGACCAACTGAATATCTACAAATATTTTAATCAGTGCATCTACACTGTAACGTTTATATTTAATTGAAAAAAAAAAACAGAACTTTGTCAAGTCTATGGACAGGTTATTAATGTGTACGTGTCGATTTAATTAGTATTATTTTATGTTTAGTTCTGTTCGATCATAATTGCTGTACCCTTATGAAGTTTTTATTACTTATTGAATAAAAAAATGTATAAAAAATACCAATTTATTGCAAAATGTCTGTAAAGTGTTTTGAATTATCACTAACCATCCCTTCTTTTGTTCAATTATTTGAATGATCAAATACTGAGTAACAAAAATGTTTGCATTGTGTTCCCTTTCTAACCAAGTGCTATAGGTTGATTGTAATCATAATGCAAAACCTGATACTTATCTAAAAAAATTTGTTAAAAAAATAAATAAGTTGACTTTTAGAATATCTAAATGTATATCTAATTTTTTTTTTTTTTTTAATGAATAAGATAGAGAAATCATGTCTAAAACAACAACAGGAATCAAAAAGCCTTCCTATGTATTTATATAGGAAGCTATAGGCAGCCTATAGGCTGTACAGGACATTGCACACATGTAACTATTTTTTCTTCTACTGGAACATTTTTTTAATAAAGCTGGCACTCTATTTTGATGTGAATTGTTGCATTCATTGAAAAAAAATAAAAATAAATATAAAATAAAAAAATATATTAATTCTAATGGAAAAAATAGCTCTTAAAATTATATAATTAATGCAAAGTATCATAAAAAACTCTGAAAATTCTAAATAATAATCAGAAAATATTATAGAACAAAAATATATTTGAACGGTTATCCTGGGTAAAAGTAAAGTTAAATTTTGAGGCTTCGTCCGTTTTGACCGGGAGTAAGCTAAGTGTAACCCATTTACGAAGAAGCCCAGAGGGTTAATTATGTTATTTCGCAGTACTGGACGCATCAGGAACAATAGGGGCTTAAAACTGCCAGGGGCGTATATCTACCGGCTCAAGGTCCGCAGCGTTGTGTTGTCATGATTTTTTCAAAACTGAATATTGTTATTTTATCAATGGAACACAAAAGGTCAATTTTAAAGTCTGCATGATAGAAGTCTTTTATTCTCTATTGTGACGTATATCTGAGTTAAACGGCTACTCGAACAGGCAAAAATGTAGGACGGGAATTGATTTTGTCCATTGGGAATTGATTGGATGGTTGTAATTTGCTATCGCTGTGATTTCATGTGAGTGACAGGGGTAGTTATTTTGATCAAAGGGTACGAGGGCACACGAATAATTAAAAAACGATGTGAACAGATAAAGAAATGTATACTAAATACTGCTATATTAAATAAAAAAACTAACAATTGTCAATTTTGATTTCATGGTGATATATAGTGTGTATATATATATAGTCAAATCTATCAAGTTTTGTGTATATATATATATATATATATATGTGTGTGTGTGTGTGTGTGTTGTGGGAATAGATTCTTCAATATCTACTTTTTCGTTTAATGAGGGAACAAATTTTTAATTTGTGACCATGATATCTTGCCACGATCAACCCAACCCCCACAACCCCTCAGACCCATGTCGTGCAGAGCTCAAAAAAATGATTATTAATATTTGTATTTGTTTGGACATTTTCATTTTTAAAGCTTGACAGCCCCTGGGTATTATTAATCTTTTTTGGTGAGAGCTGCCAAACGATTCTTCAAAACGAAAAATGCTCGATACTAGGACAAATACATTTTCAGACAAAACTATTCATTTAAAATGGAGAAGCAGCTCTTAGAACAATACTTACTGCAAAGACTCCTCGAATAACCCATCCGTGATATTGCCGTAATGTTTTTCCATATGCTTTATCTGAAAGAAAATTAAAAGAAAAAGACATTACAAAGCACTGATATCAAGGACACATATACCATTAATCACAGTTTTACACTTGATCATGTGACTTACTAAGAGCTCCCTGGACGTCCTTCATCCCTGTATTGATTTCAGAAAGGAATTCTTTGAGGAACTTGAGTCCACGTTTAAGCCATAGCAGCGCTTCTGTGGCCGAGTTCCGCACCTGTGACACCTCCGTCTCCACCTCGTGCAGCACGATGCTCTGTAGGGTGGGGAAACTCTCAGGATCCGACACCACCTTCTGCTGGATCTTCTGATAGAGCAAATAAGGAGGATCAACTCGGATCAAGTTATGATGCCCTCTAGTGGTTATGGAGACACTAAATGTGACCCTGGATCACAAAACCAGTCACATGGGTCAATTGAGATTTATACATTTTCAGAAAGCTGAATAAATAAGCTCTCCATTTATGTATGGTATTTGGCCGAGATACAACTATTTGAACATCTGGAATCTGAGGGTGCAAAAAAATCTAAACTTTGAGAACATCGCCTTTAAAGTTGTCCATTTATGTTCGCGATTGTGCTGTACTCACTCACAAAAGTAAATGTTTTATATATTTACGAAAGGAAATTTACAACATCTTAATTGGAACACTATCTTTACTTAATATCCTAATGATTTTTGGCAGAAAAGCAAAACAGATCATTTTGACCCATACAATATATTGTTGGCAATTGCCACAAATATACCCGTGCATCTTGTGACTGGTTTTGTGATCCAGGGTCATCAACTCACAAATGAGGACATTGTTGACCCAGGCTCTGGCTCTTTTGGTACCCTAGGTGAAATGTTAGATAGCACCCCACACAAACCAACCCCATAATCTCTAATTTGATATATATATATGTGTATATATATACAGTATATATATACAGTATATATATATATATATATGCTGGGCAGCAATTAATCGCATCCAAAATAGTTTGTATTTACATAATATATGTGTGTATACTGTGTATAATTATTTTGTATATATAAATACACACATGCATGTATATTTTTAAGAATTATTTGAATACTGTACATACACTCACCTAAAGGATTATTAGGAACACCATACTAATACTGTGTTTGACCCCCTTTCGCCTTCAGAACTGCCTTAATTCTACGTGGCATTGATTCAACAAGGTGCTGAAAGCATTCTTCAGAAATGTTGGCCCATATTGATAGGATAGCATCTTGCAGTTGATGAAGATTTGTGGGATGTACATCCAGGGCACGAAGCTTCCGTTCACATCCCAAAGATGCTCTATTGGGTTGAGATCTGGTGACTGTGGGGGCCATTTTAGTCCAGTTAACTCATTGTCATGTTCAAGAAACCAATTTGAAATGATTCGAGCTTTGTGACATGGTGCATTATCCTGCTGGAAGTAGCCATCAGAGGATGGGTACATGGCGGCCATAAAGGGATGGACATGGTCAGAAACAATGCTCAGGTAGGCCGTAGCATTTAAACGATGCCCAATTGGCACTAAGGGGCCTAAAGTGTGCCAAGAAAACATCCCCCACACCATTACACCACCACCACCAGCCTGCACAGTGGTAACACGGCGTGATGGATCCATGTTCTCATTCTGTTTACACCAAATTCTGACTCTACCATCTGAATGTCTCAACAGAAATCGAGACTCATCAGACCAGGCAACATTTTTCCAGTCTTCAACTGTCCAATTTTGGTGAGCTCTGGCAAATTGTAGCCTCTTTTTCCTATTTGTAGTGGAGATGAGTGGTACCCGGTGGGGTCTTCTGCTGCTACTTCTATTAAATCCTGATGTACTCCTTACATCATAAGAAGAATGGCATCTACGCTAATTTGAGTGTCTTTGTTTATTCCGAGGTTCTCCCGCCGCCTGCCGGATCCAGGCTGTATCCAGATCTGACGAGGAGCTTAGCCTGGACCCAATGACCCAAGTGCCAACTAGCCTCTCCCTATGGTGAATCCATTTCCCACTATAGTGTTCCTAATAATCCTTTAGGTGAGTGTATATTACAGTGAATCTATAATCCATAAACCCACTGCTCATGTAATTCAAAATAAGCCCCCTATTATTTATATTTCTTGCTTTTATTTATATAAAAAGGATGCATTGAGTTTCGTTGTTTACATGTTACACTTACCTTAATGTTTCCCACAAAATCTAGTTTAACTGGAGCAAAGACAGTTGGTCCAAGCTTGTCTGAGGGGAGAAAACCTTTGTAAGTACTTTGTTGGTTTAACTTATTTTGCACCTAAACATACACTCAAAAGTTTGGGGTCAGGAAGATTTTAAGAAATTAATACATTTATTCAGCAAGGATGGATTGATTAAAAGTGACAGTAACAACTTACAACATTACAAAAAATAAAATCTATTTCAAATAAATGCTAAATAAAAATTGTATTTATATTTAATTATAAATGTTAAAGACTAACTGGTGCCCCTTCAAAAATAAATAAATAAAAAATGAATTACCACTGTATGTTCTTAAGAGGAAAGTGCTGTACAAAAGCTTTCATAAGTGATTGCTGCTACAGTTGGACTTTATTTTCTTGTGTTTCTGGGTACTCACTGAACTGTCCCAGTATAAAGACATATCAGAGCATGCATGAGCATGAGCAGACTAATATGAGATGCAGAATAATTATTAATAATTATTAAATGAGATGAAAAAAATGAACTAAAATCAAGAGCACGTGTAGAGCCGACACATTCACAGAGTGTCAGAAATCAATGTTCCCACAAGCCTTTTGCAACCTTTAATAAGCACAACACTAATGAGAGCAAAGACAGATAGCCGACAGAACTGACAGAAGGAAAAAAGACGAAGCAAAGAAAGGGTGGAAAAGGGAGAGTGAAAGATAGAGTGTCCTACCTAAAACTGGTACTATAGCATAGCAAGAATCCAAAAAGGCCTGTGTGGGAATACCACTGTTGTCCTCCAGTATTATATCACTAAATCTACAAGAAAAGAAAAAAACCACAGACATTCACACAAGGACAATACATGTGAATTAGTACACACATCAACAGAGAGTACATTTATTTGATCAAATAAAACACCAAATACAAAAGCAGGCAAAGTCAAAGCAGAAGAAAACCGGTTTGGAGCATGCATTCCTTAATTGAGAACGGCACTCATTAAATACATGTTTAGAAAATGAAAAATTATACAATCTTCACACAGTGGTATAATACTGAAAAGGTTTTATATCTAAATACCAACCCAGTGCTTTGATAACATTACTGGTTCAATTCAATTTAGTTTCAGCCCAATGAAGGTTGTTGGAACAGATTAGTGCTGTAGTTATATGATGACCTCATCATTACATAAAGAAGATGAAAGAATTAGGTATAGCAAAAGGATCTACAAACCCTCATCACAGGCCGGGTCTCGTTTTGAGTGATCAAAAGAAAACATACCATGATAAACATTTAATCATGGACCATTTGTCTTTCAAATCTTTACATATTGAAACCATAATATATGAAATTGTGAGACATTTAGTTCATTGTTTTGGAACTTTCCACAAACAGGGAACAAATTACAGTCTTAAAACTTGTCTGTTCATCAAAATGTCATAATTTACTTATTTTAAAACAATTTAACTTCATAAATAAACGAAATAATCTGCTAGCTGCTTTACTTTGAGATTAAATATTGCTGTAATTTTTTTTTTCAGATAAAGTTATACATCAAACTTGTGCTAGCTTATTAAATTGTATGCGTTTTACTTTGATAGTACTCTTGCACTAAGACATTAACAATAACCCAGCAAACACAGAACGTTCCCGTTCCTAACGTTCCCGAATGAGGTTATTTTTTGGGAACCAAACAAGAACGTTATAGGAACGTTCCATGTAGGTTATTTTTAGGTTCCATTTTTATAACGTAAGGAGAACATTCCGGGAACGTTCCCCTAACCTTAAACTAACGTTCCCAGAACTTAAATTTGTTTGCTGGGAAACAATTACGGGAATTATTGAACAGAAATAATACAACTTCACTATATTTAATACTGGCATTTTGAGTGTTTCCGTCAAAATTCGTTATGTTGTTCTGTCACGATGTATATGCACCTACTGTTTAGCTAACAAAAAAAACGAGATTTGTACCTCTATTGCTGTAAAAAAATAAATGGGAGACCTAATGTACCCTATTTGTGGGAAGTGCCTTTTTAAAACCATAATCTAATCAGGCTAGACTCACTACAAATGATCTCAAAGACTTTCAGTCAATGCATTTTTTTGTTTGTTTTTATGAACTCTCGGATCATGTGTTTAACTTGTGTTATTTCACAGCATTCACAATGCTTGCACTTAACCTGGACATTCCTTTAACATGAAACAGACATGACTGATAACGTCACTTTATGGCATTGCACCTGGTTCCTTAGAACACAATGTTACTATATGGAGATTTCTAGATTTTCACTGAAATGCTGACTCTACATATAGCACATTTCTGTAAAACAAAAATTCTAAGAGTAGTGTTAGCTGTAACTTTAGGAATACTGGATTCTGAATTGTGTAAATGTGTGCAGTACATTCATCTTGTTTCTTCAGAGGATCACAGCAACGGAGGCGCCTCATACCTGTGGCTCATGGTACTGAAGAATGTGTCCACCTTATCTTCCTCTTCCTGTGTGATCTCAGACTGAGGCTTGTTCACTTCCAGGTCAGCCTGGATTCCTTCAGTGACCATTTCTTCTTTGTTCTGTGTGGGGCTATGGGAGACGTCCTGTTGCTTTTCTTGAGCACAGTCTGCTTCTTCTGGTGGTCTGTCCTTCTTCTCTCCTACAGGTTCTTCAGGGTCATGTGTGCTTGATGAAGAGCCATTATGAGGCTCCTCCATTAAACCACTTCCTAAAACAAACAAGACAGACAAGATCGGAAATGAGAGTTGAGGCGAGTCAAAATGTAGCACCAGTTCTGAATCCGACTGGCTTAATGCTTGGCAAACCTGTAGGTGTGCTTTCTTGAGGAGATGGAGGTGGTTCATTTTCTGGTCCACTCTCATGTGCTGATGTCCCTGAGGTGTTTATTAAGTCCCTTTGTCTGCAAAACACACATTTTCAACATTTTAGCGACAAACAAAATGCACACCTGACCCACAAGCATCCATTAATGTTACTGAACTCACGTTTCTCCTTGGTGCTGATTTTTTGGATCAGTAGTTTTGATCTATGGAAATTAGAAATATTTGAGGTTTTTACAAACTGAATTAGAATTACAACAGCACAAACGTTTGTACTTTCCAGTTGGTGATTACGGTGTATTTAATATACCTTCTGAGGTTTGATGGTAGCCACAGGAGGAGAGCCTGGAGGGGTCTGACTCAGAAGATCTGGATTGAAGGTTCGGCTAGCAATCTGCATACACTCCTCCAGGGTCTTTAAGAAGGTGGTGCATGTGGACTTCACTAGATTTCCTGTCTCATCCCCTACCTGAAACCAACACATGACCACACCAAACCTGAATTTCCAGAGCCACTTGACCAATCTGAACAGTACAGGGCAGCTTTTTAACCCTTGGTTTTATGATAAAGACAAAGCACAAACATTTAGGGTGTGTTCACAATTGGCAGGTTTGGTTTGATTAAAACGAACCCTGGTGTTAGTGCGATTCATTTGAATAAGTGTGAAAGCTGGTGCGCACCCAAACAAGTGGACCAAGAACGCTAAAAAGATGGGTCTCTGATGGGTGAATCTGTCTGATTTCCCGATTCGATTCGATTATTGAAGTTACGATTCGATTACAGTCGATTAATAGCGATTCTCGGTTAGCGATTATTGATTTTCTATTTCACAACAATAAACGAAAATACACTAGACCAACATATGATTATATTAGCAGCAACATTTTGGTATTAATTGCACTTTTATTTGTTTGATATTCAATGAAAATGTAATGGTTAGTGAGGACATGCAAACATGCTTGTTGTCTACTACATAGGCAACCCATTATCTTTAAATTATTTATTTTTTTAAAAGCAATTGTGTTGCATTATAATGCAAAGGCACCTGGTTCTATCAATTGAAAGCATTAAAATGTATTTTGTGATTTCCTTCAATTGAAAATCTTTGAAAAGAGTTGAAGGGCACCCGATTCAGATAATCACCCAGAAATTCAAAAGAACAGCATTTATGTGAAATAGAAAGCTTTTGTAACATTAAACAATACCGTTCAAAAGTTTGGAGTCGGTAAGAATTTTTATTTAATTTTTTGGGCGAAAGAAAAAAAGAAATCAATACTTTTATTCATCAAGGATAAATTAAATTGATCAAAAGTTACAGTGAAGACATTTATAATGTTACAAATCGATTATCTGAATCTTTTGTGTGTGTGACTATAAACACTTTGCTTTAAAAGTACAAAGTAATGACCCACAAATAATTAATGTACAATATATTTTATTAACATTGCAAAGAACCAACGGGAAAATAAATGTGCGCCTGACTAGGAGCATACTTGTAGTAAATTAATAATATAATTTTTTTTTTTTTTTGGGGGGGGGGGATCGATTTTTTTGACATTTGTGAATCGATTCAGAATCGTCCACGTCCGCATCGCAATTCAAGAATCGATTTTTTTCCCCCGTCCCCTAGTCTCTGTCCACTTCCAAACAAACTATGGTGCAGCTCGAATTAAATATGAATGCAACACGGACAAAAGACATGCAAACAAACCAAAAACAGGACATGCGACCCAAAAAGGACAGAATCCTCAAGCATACCTGTTTTTTCTCATCATAGTTTTGATATCACTCATCACAGTTCGGTACAGGCATCAGAACTGCATCTCCGTGCAGGAGAATTTCGTTTGTGTGTTAAAGAGAGCTTCCTGACACTGTTTTGAGTCCTTTACACATTTTATAAGCTCTTCACGAGTTCTCAGCTCCATTATGTACCACATCACATGTACAAACATAAACCGAGCACATTTAACCCAGCACACAATATTTGATAAGTTCCGTCACAAAATATACATCATAAAAGCTGTTTTTGTTTTGTGTCTTTAGGTTCAGTGTTAAAAATGACTGTGTGACTGCTAAGTGAACCAGGAAAAATGTAATAATTTTCTTTTTTGGTCCAGACCAAACTACCGAAATACAAGTGTGACACACCCTTAGAATGATATGGTATGAAAAGATAAACTTATAACCCTGCATTATTAATGTTTGATGAGCTTGTAAATTGTTTAGTATTAGACATGTTTCCTCAATGATGTCCTTGAAATACACACAGTAAAGCAGAAGGTAGACAAGGTCGACACTTAAAATAAACACAACACTCTCTTACCTCCTCAGAATCAGCTGTCATCTCCGCTAGAGGACTTTCTTGTATTTTGTTCACTTGCTGAAGGAGAAGGTCACAGTAAAGCCTTAGCTCAGACATTTTTGTTTTCAGAGCCTCTGAGCTTTCCTGGAGCTCTAAAAAAATAGAAGAGACTAGTGTTGAAACTCATTTTCTTCCTAGACAGTTCTTTGAAGAATTGCAAAATGAGGAAACATCATGACCTGAACGAGTTATGTCATTTAATTTGAATCCCAAGAAATGGGTTTTGCTTCCTTTATTCACATAGTCTATCGAAACAGGAAGTTTAAAATTATTTTTGGTATATTTTTTTTTTCCTGGAAGTGTGAAACTATAAATATTCAATGTGTAAAACAGCTGAAAATTAATTTTGTCATATTGTAGGAGCTAAAAAGTCCATAGACACAGACTAAAAAACCACTACAGTATATTGTTCACAATACCCTAGGCTATACATTACTTTATCATATTTCACTGTCATATTAACACGAAAAGAAAAGCCAGATGATCTACAGAGAATATCGTGTCTACTTCAGCAGAAATACAACACTCACCCTTCTCTCTCTTAGTCCGGTTGTCTGTAAGACAGGCTTTTGCAGTCCCTAACGCCACAAGCCATTTCTGCCTCTCTGCTGCATTAATTGCCCTGAGATAAAAGTACTGTTCTCCTGGAATGATCAGATCAACCCTTGTGAAATCCGATGGGTGAACTACAATGGGCAAAGGGAGGACAAAGAAGAAGGATTAGCAAAGTATACCTTCTGTAAGATCATTCACAATAGTTGTAATACAGTACTTAGGTGGGTCCTGTACTTGTTACTTGTTACTGTACTTAGTAATTGTGGGGCCTGTGGACTTTTAAAAATAATGACTGTCAAAACATATTAACAGTGAACACACATTAATCACAAACTTTCCCCCTCTTTTTTTCTTAAGAAAAGCATTAAGGATTTCAACCACAGTGTCATTTACACCACATCTCAAGTTTAAGTATAATGTTTAATAGCATTTTAGGGTCGAAAGTGGCAGACATTTTTCTTCATATCTAGCATTTCATGTATCCTAAATACAATTAAATAATATTTTCACCCTTTTTGATGAAATTACAACAAAAAGAATCTCACTTTTTTTATTCCGATCATGTCTCACATACTTTATCTCATGCTCTTTACTGTTTTTTTATGTATTAAGGACATTTTGTTTTTATGCAGCAGTGGCAATATTAGATCATTTTCACACAATAAATATAAAAATATGTTGTGTTTACTTTACAGTTATAACCATGTAATAATTCATACTTTTACAATGATTTTTTTATAGCTGGGTCTGATAGTCTGGGTCTTAGAAAATCATAAAATTATAGGGAAAAAAAAGATGGCAAGATATAGATATAAAAAAAGCTTTCAAGACAGTAATAAAAAATGAACCCCTAGGACACAAAAGTTCCCAAAGATTGGGTAAGCGTATTATGACATCCTGAAGCATATAAAGAATAGATGCTTGTGATGTAACCATTATTAGGTTTCCTGCTCAGGTTAGGCACAAACTTTCCCTTACCCTGTATTTCACACACAGATATTTTGATGCTGCCCTTGCATCCTTTCCATGCATCTTCTTGAGAATCATAGTAGGAAAGAGTGCCTCCTTTAAGAACAAACCAACGGGGCTGCCAACCTTCAAAAGACACAAAAGAGCCATAATGACATTTTAAGCTGTAGCTGACACATGTAACAATGCATATGATGACGTTTAAGATACATGAACATAATATGGCTTGACTTGTTTTCCAGTCAAGAGGCTTTAAACAAACCATTGTCAAAAGTGAATAAAACACAATCCAATACATAATGATAATCTTAGGAACTTTTATGCGATTTTTTTTTTTTACATTTTTTTTTAGCAAATGAAATCTATGTGGTTGAGTTGGTCACTGCATTAGATAAAGTATCGACACAGAGAGTTAAAGAGGATGATGACTTAACTTCATTTATACACTAAAGCTAGCAAACAGGCTAATTGCTTTACAGACTTCCCTTATTTATATAACACATAACTTTTAAGTGTCGCAGCATACATACCACTGATATAGTTGGTCCATTTATAGAGAACTCCCTCCATGGTAGACATTCTCTTGACAATTCATTACTTAGTCGTGGCAAGACTGAGCCCAACACAGCCGCTTTGAGAAACTCGAGATAATTCTGAACTACGACAAGTGTACGTAAAAGACGCAAAGTCACTGCCGAGAGTAGAAATTACGCAAATGATTTTCGTAAATGCTTCGAGAATACAAATCCATGTGATCATAGAAGGATCGGCCCATGCGCTTGACGTCTGTGGGATTTTCTCTTAGCGCATCTCTGATTGGATACAGTACAAGCATGTGGGCGTTGTTGCACTGGGACTATGTGTTTGACATCCAATGAAAATTGAATATTGGTTTTTAAGGCGCGTCTACAAAAGAAGCTGACCAATAATAATACAGGTTTGTATTTTAGGGTGGTAACGTTTGCATTGAGATCTGGGAGTGTGATCCAAGTCCGTCTCATTTCTTCGAGTCGGTTCTTTTGAACACGTCGTTTTAAAAGATCGTACTCAACGAGTCTTTTACGCCATTGCGTTATAACATCTAAACGTGGCATATTACATTCTTAATATTCTAATATACTGTTTTATTATCAATACAAATTTAAAAAGAACAGCATTTACTCTGTTAATAATATAAATCTTTTCCAACAATAGGGCTATACATCTTTACTATCACTTTTTTTAATCAATTTAACACATCCTTGTTGAATAAAAGTATTAATTTCTTTAAAAAAGAAAGAAAGAAACAAATGACTGACCCCAAACTGTTGAAAGGCAGTGTATAGTAGGATTGTTGCAAAAGATTTCTGTTTAAAATAAATGCTGTTCTTTTTAAAACTTTTTATTCATCACAAAATCCTGGAAAAACTACGCATATCACAGGTTATAAAACAAAATATTTAGCAGCACAAATATTTTCAACATTAAATCTGCATATTAGAATGATTTCTGAAGTCAGGAGATACTGAATACTGGAGTAATGGATGATGAAAATTCAGCTTTGCATTAAAGTAATTAAATTTTAAAGTAGGCTATATTGAAATAGAAAACCATTATTTTAAATTATAATAATATTTCATAATGTTTTTTTTCTGTTTTTTTTTTCAGCAAATAAATGCATGCTTGATGAATATATAAGACTCCTTTCAAAAACTAGTAACCTAATAGTAATGTTTCCATACTAAAATTCATGATCACTTGGCTAGTTTAAAATTTCAGTAAGTTTTATATTTCAATAAGTCATAGGCTACAATCAGCCATTAACATGTCTGTGGACAGAATTGTTTAGACAGGTTTGTGAACAGGTTCGAACAATTCATTGAAGAGAATCGATTCAAAAGAACGACTCTTTAACGAATCGGACCAACATCGCTAGTTTTGGGAAAGACCCCTGCAGAAACTTTGCTTGCCACGTAGTCGCGGCTGCACAACTTGTAGCCTACTTTGTGAAGCTTTTCATGCTTTGTTGTGCATGAAACGTCAGCTTAACAGTTAGGCTAGAGGTTGTTAAACTGTTCTTGACATTAAAATGATTCCAGAATTGTGGACATGCATTTTTTCTGCATTCTTCTTTTACGTGCATGGAGCAAAACTTCCGGAACCAGAGGTGAAGATAGAAGTTCTATACAAACCTTTCCTTTGCCATCGTAAATCCAAATACGGGGATATTCTTCTGGTTCACTACGATGGCTTTCTGGAGAGTAATGGCACAATGTTTCATTCCAGGTGACATCCAATGAACCATCTACTGCATGTTCATAAACTTTGAATAGACTGCACACTGCAAGAATAGACTGCATTAACTTAAAGCCTGCATGCTTTTTTATTTTGAGAATTCATTAGTTACTGTCCACATGTGTTTGTGGTTATTGAATACACAACATTTAAGCTTGAACAGCTATGTTTTGGAGCATGGTAGTTTGTTTCTGATTAAAGGTGAGCATTAACATGGTATACCATGGTCCAAAAACAGTTTTAGCTGTTATCTGGTGTGTTGCTGGAGCTGGACCAAGATGGTCTAGTTTGGATAAGCTAATGACTAACTTAGACCATATAGAAACCATCTTCCAAAACACAGCTGCCAGCTCAAGGATGTCAAGTATGCATGTCCAGAGTTTAATAGAGTTTTGTCTTGTAATTGGCAGCCGTCATCATGGAGACAAAAACCCTGTCTGGTTCACATTGGGGATCCGTGAGGTGATAAAGGGTTGGGACAAGGGTCTTCAAGACATGTGTGTGGGGGAGAAGAGGAAACTGACTGTCCCTCCAGCTCTTGCATATGGCAAAGAGGGCAAAGGTGTGCCAGCAACCAGCAACATTTGAGAAACTTTGGCTTCCAACCTTCCGAAACTGAACATGTCATAACGTTGCATTAAAGGAATAGTTCACCCAAAAAATGAAAATTCTTTCATTTACTCACCCTCAAGATGAACTACTGTAAACCTGTATGAGTTTTTTGTTCTGTTGTGTACTAAAGACAATATTTTGAAGAATGTTGGTAACCAAATAGTTGATGGCCCCCCATTAACTTCCATATGAAAATTAAATACTATGAAAGTCAATGTTTTGTGTTCAACAGAAGAAAGAAATGCAAACAGGTTTAGGGAAAATGATGACAGAACTTTGAGGGTGAACTAAAACACCCCATACAAAAATGACTTATCTTGCCAATGGTTATGCTCTGTACTCAGGTAAAATCCCTCCGGAGAGCATTCTGATCTTTGACATCGAGATCATGGAGATCCGAAATGGGCCCAGGTCACATGAGTCCTTTCAGGAAATGGACCTCAATGATGACTGGAAGCTTTCCAAATCAGAGGTTTGTGTGTGTGTAAAAAAAAAAAAAAAAAACTGCTGTTTCATCAAGCATGGGTTTTAGCATATTTATTTCAGGGAGTTAATTGTGTAATTTCTTTCTATTTCAGGTCAAAGAATACTTGCGCAAAGAGTTTGAAAGACATGGATACGCCCCCAATGACACCCATCATGAAGTGATGGTTGAGGACATCTTCCAAAAAGAAGATGAAGACAATGATGGATATATATCATCCCGGGAGTTCACTTATAAACACGATGAACTATAAATACACACTCCTGCAAAACCACAGCAATGTTTACCTTCAAAAGATTCCAATATTTGCCTTCAGAGATTTGCAATGTGTCAGTAACATTTCACATAATGTTACGGTATACAAACAGGCTTTCTGTTATCTACAGGTCATGTGTGTCATTTGTTTTTTTTATTGTTTTTTTAAAATTTACTCTCAGGTTTGTTTGAGCTGTTTGTAGTGTTTGAAGATTTTAGGTCTTTTTCAATGGCAAGATAAAATTAAATTCTGCTCAAAGAGAATGTTTTTTTTTTTTTTTTTTTTTTACCAAAAGTGCCTGTTCACTGAAATATTGAACCTTTCAGAACATTTCAGTGCTGTTTATTTTATAGTATGTGTGTGTCTGTGTTACTTCAGAGCCAAATGAATTATGCACACTGTTATGTTACAATATTTAGGACTTGTTAAAGAACATTTTTAAGGAGTTGGCTGTAAGTATTTCTTATAAAATATAAAATATATCAGTTTTGTTCTGTTCATCACTATTGACATTGTAATTTTATACACCATCACTAGAGGGAGCTCTTCTCTTAACCTGTTATAGCCTGTTATGATACAAATAACTAGAATGGCTCATACATATGATAGATAAAAACATACTTTAGTGTTTAATAATGAACAAACGGACTGAAAACTCTGAGACACGCAATTAAAATGCAGTCATGTGGCATTTCATTGACAGATGGCATAGTTATCATCACACTTACAAAATGCAGATGCCTGGTTGGCAGTGTGTATTATAATTTGCATACAATATTTAGTCAGAGCCATGTTTGACAACATTCCATTCTTTTACTATGGCATTACACAACATTAACCTTTGCAACATTAAGTTACATTTACAGTTTGTGTGTTATGTTTGCCTAACTAGTTTGCTCCAATGGTTCAGTCTCAAGTCAATTTGGACCGAACCATCACCAAAAGTTTTTTAGGAAACCAAACAAAACATTTGCCAAACAAATAGGCTTTATATGTCCAACCTGGGTTTCTATGAAGCCCAATTAGTTCATTTTTCCCAAGTAGAATGGTTAGATAAGGTAGCCTAACTTCTCAAACGTGCAAAAGGCTATTTATAGTTTATAGGCCACAATGTTCCCCTTGACAATCAGGGATACCAGGATAATAATAAAAAAAATTCTTCTGTATATCCTTCATTTACGGTTGCATAAAACACGTATCTTAAAGTCCCTTTTTAAAATAGGTTAAGAGACTTTTCTTTAAAAAAAACAAACTAAAAAAAAAACCTAAACAATAAATACATGAGTCTACAGATTAAAGGAGCCGTATGTACGATTGTGGCCAAAACTGGTACTGCAATCACTTTCAAATTACTATAGTGGTATATCATCTCCCTCTCCCCCCTGACTCAAGGTTGCCAGATAGGCTGAAGGATCCAACATTTTTTTTTCCATCTGACAGATTTGTAGCTGCAGCTGTGGTAACTAGAGCAGAGCTGGCAACCCGGATGCTGCAACACTACCGACTTCGTGATTGGTAGATCGATGGAGGGTGGAGCATCAGACCAAAACACAACATGACAACAACATCATCAGTTGCAACTTCGCTTTTTAAATGACAATATCCTGGCTGGACTACTGTTGTCAGTGATAAGTATTTGAAATGAACATTATTTCTTAATGTCAAGTGACATATCAGGGCCATTTTATGATTATTTGAAATAAATTTCTATACAGCTCCTCAATGTCTTTCTTTTTGCAGGCTTCATCAATGCATGAAGCTTTCCGTGTCTCTAAGAACAACTGCAGTACAAAAATAACAATAATCCCACATTACTGGGCTACTGTAGGCAGCAGAGTGTAACAGGTGTCATTGTCAGTCACTGAAATTGAAATCAATGGCTCCAGCAAATTAGTTTTTTCTTTTCATTAACGTTACATCCTCTACGCGACAAAATTACAACGCTCTTGCGACAGATGGAGAGACTGACAATTCCATTCACAAATCCCAGAAGACATCGCACGCTTGCAGTGTAAACAGCACCATAGGCCTATAAACAGGTTCTTTTTTTCCCCGCAAAATTAAACAGAGTAAATTGGTTAACTGTGCTACTTCGCGACAGCAATGTTTTTGTCATAAAAGTTGTTCTCGGGCATGGTGACCCGCACTTTTCGTTTCTCCTTGAAACGGCCAGAACGTGAAACGGTCCAATTTCTGCGGCACGTGTTTTCGTTGAAGGAGGGCTCGAGCTGAGAGTCGTCGTAAGTCTCATCGCTGATCAGATTGTTGTTTTTGTTCTCGCTCACAGTTTGTTTCGCTGTCGTCTTGTCCGAATTTCCAAATTCATGTTGGGTTTCTTTCAAAGTGTTCTTATTTCTTCCAGTTAAGTTTTTCCACCAGGATCTGTCTGCCATTCTGCCTTGTTCTTCAATTCACACTGAAATGCACATTAAACGTTTATAAAACAACATCTTGCAGTTACAATTATATAGCTACTTAAACAATCATATGATTAATAAGTTACAATAACGTATGTTTTTACATTGCTTTAACTTATTTTGGTGAACAAATGTAAAACATGTTGTCATAACTTAAGCAATTTCCAACTGTTGAATTAAAATAAATAAGTTACACTGTAAAAAAATATTGTTGGTTTAACTTAAAAAATTAAGGGTTTAACTAAAAAAAAATTATAAATTAAAATTCATGATTACAAATCATGAAAATATATATTTTTTTACAGTGTATACAAGATTCAACTCATTTTTTAAAGTCAGTTTAATGCAATTTAAGTTGAAATGACTTACAATTTTTAGTACAACCAACTTGGATGCAGCAACTTTTTTACAGTATATATATATATATATATATATATATATATAGCCTACACTGTAAAATAATATTTTCATGATTTGTAATCAAAACATTTTTTCTTTTGTCAAATCAACTTAAATAATTTATGTAGTTCAGATAACATAATATTTTGAGTTTCTGATGATTAAATCAATCTCCTTCATTGTATTAACTCACTTTTTCCATTTCAATGAACTTAAAATTTTAAGGCAACCAGGTTACTTAATTTTTTAAGTTAAACCATATATATATATATATATATATATATATATATATATAAGCATATCCTCAAGATAAAGTTTTATCTATATCATCCATCAGAAACACTCACCTCAGCAGCCGATGTGTTAATGTCAGTCAGAGGCTGACTGTCAAGTCTTTTGTTTCTTTTAAGAAAACATCCAGCAGAACAACCTTGTGGCTCTTTCCAAACCCACATCAACTCTTCAGCTACAGCTAAACTATAATAAGTGATGAATTCATTCATTTATACTTCTCCTGCGTGCGTCTCAAACACCCTCCCTCCTCTCTCCCATTGGTCTGTTGATCTCCTCCAGCTGCCCTCAGGAGGCTGGTTTCAGGTTCTCGCTTCACCTGTGATTTGGTAAAAAAAAAAAAAAAAAAATCTCTTTGGGGCATATACCGTCTCAGCTGTCTGATACTAAAACAATGCTGCCGTTCACACCCCTGAATTTGGAACAAGAAAACCGAGCTTAGAGAAAACCAACGCCTAGAGAGCTGACCAAGCACCAATTACAGCAACATACTTCCCATACTGCATATCTGAGGTGTTGTAGCTTCAAACAATGACCCAAAAACTACTTTCAGAAGTTCATTTCGACTGCCACTTCATTTTCAAGTCCAGAATCAAGGTCTTCACAGATTTAAAAGTAACCATATTTACATAATTTAATAAATCAGCATTTGATAAATTACAATCATAATTACAATCATTCTTCACAGAAAATATCGTCAAAAAAAACAAATTGTAGAAAGGTCTTATATCAAATAAACAATCTGAAGGAAGTCAAACCAAGGTCACTGTACCGTTTATCAACATTTTTTCTCGAGGTGAATAAATGATCTCGCCTCAGGAGACTAAGATGAATACAATACAAACAATTTTGTTCTTGAAATGGGATCAAGTTCAATGAGGAAGGGACAAGCACTAAATAAATGCTCTAAGAACAACTTTTTCCAGTCACAGAATAATCACTCTATTGTTGTCAGGGTAAACAAAAAACAATTTCAAAGGCATGGGTTAAACACAGAATTATTAACACTGGATGAACAAGAAAATAATTATTTACACTCCATGTAAAATTAAAAAGTGCTTTACACATGATCTCAATTGTCTCGCCATTACAGTACATATACATTTACCAACCACATGACCCAAAAATATATCATTTTAAATTCATATTTCTGACAATTTGTTAGTTTCACAATGCTAAATGACCATAGATTCATACGTCATGGTCAGTGCATCATACTAGTTTGGCATCAGAGAAAACAAAGGTACTATACTTGGATTTAAGCAAAATGCCCATTAATTAAAACTGTATATCGGCATTGATACACGTTACTCCATGCTTAATAGCATTTGTTTGAATAAAATAAAAAAGGTAAATGCAACTTTTTATAAAACGTCAACATTACCTTTTTTAATTGCAAATTTATATCTCACAATTCTGACTGAGTTTATGTTTCGCAATTCAGATTTACTCACAATTCGTTAGTTTAACAAAAAAGGTCAGAATTGTGAGATATACGTAAGCTCACAATTGTGAGAAAAAAAAGTCAGAATTGTAAGGAAAAAAACCCGCAATTACTTTTTATAATTGCAAGATTATACCTTGCAATTCTGACTTTATCTCTCGCAATTCTGAGTTTGTAAATTCAGAATTGAGATTTAAATTCGCAATTTAAAAAAAAGTAATTGTGACTTTTTAATCTCACAATTCGGACTTTCTTATTTTATTTTTTACAATTGTCATTTTATAACACAAATCTACTTTTCAAAGTAGTAGACTTTATAATTTACATTTCTGACAATTATGAGATATAAACTCGGAATTGTGAGAGAAAAAAAAATCAGAATTGACAAATATAAACTTGCAAAAGTCAGAAAAAAATGACAAAAGTCAGAATTGTGAGATAAAATTCGCAATTGCCTTTTTTTAGTTTTTAAAATTTCCATAGTGAGGGGGTTTGAAACACATTGAGTGAAATGTGCAATTAGTTCCAAATTTCATATGCAAAATCTGATGGGAAAACATATCTTTGAAATGTGTGGCAGGCCAGTCTTTAAAAGATGTCTTCATTTCAGATGTTTAAAACAAGATGTCTTCATGCTCTATCAGGAGCTGAACAATCAGTTTCTGGTATCTCATATCGTTGAGAGTGGCGAGCGTGTTCTGGTCCGGGGGTCTCATGAGCGTCGGGCCGAAAACGATCCCTAGGTTCTCTGAGTTCATGTAATTGTCCTTCTCGTACATGGTGACCCTGATAAACGGAGACAAGGCATGGAAAAAACACCTCAGACAATATAATTTTGGTAATAAACACAGGTAAGTAGTGATATACTTTCCGTGGTTAGGGAAATGTGGCAAAGCTGGCTTGACAAGCTTTTCTTGGGGATTATTTTAAAGGTTTCCTGAAGTGCACTGAGCTAAAGTGCCATATTGGGTTTCCTGTTTCCTACTAATCATTCTTAGAAGTTTTATATTGCATGGTGACAGGAAGTAAACTCACTCGGCAAAATGCATAAATGCAACAAAAACCTGAACAGCCACCGGCTCAATGTGGAGTCGTGAAATAAACTATGGTCCCGGAACCTAAGGGGGTAGTAAATGTGTCTGGAAATTCAATAGATTTGTGGTTTTACCTCTTCAGGTGTGTCATCAGGTACCGCAGGGCCTCATAGTGGGCTGGAGGAAGTTGGAGGAGACCATCATGAACTGCCTCGAGTCTGGAGTCAGGATCTGTTATTTCTGATAAAAAAAAAAAGGTTTGAAAAATGCTGTTCAGAATTATGCTAAAAACTGCCACTAGTCCACATACTTTACTGATGTTTAAACATAATTTGGTCCAAAATCTGAGAACACAGTGAAAGTGATTATTTTTTTGTATTTTTGACATATATTTTTTTTATTTTTTTTTTCAATTAGAAATAACACTACCATTCAAAAGATTGTAATTTTTAATTTTTAAATATCTAATGCTTATACCAAGGCTGCAGTTACTATCAAAATATGGTAAATCAAAAAAATAAATAAATAAATAAATAATATATATATATATATATATATATAGTCATATTGTGAATTATTTATGCTTTTTTTCCTGTGAAAAAAAAGTTGAATTTTCATCATCATTACTGCATTTTTCAATATCGCAGACTGATCTCGTGAAATGGCGTATGTATGACACACCAATTTCGTATTTCGATTTTTTCCGTGCCATCAATGCCGTGGAATCGTGTTTATGAATGCTGTTGACTTAATGTTTCATTACTGTATATATAAATATATGACCTACCCCAACCCCGTCCCTAAACCTACCCGTCACTGGGGTTAACACCATTTATGAGTCTTCCCCTACCATACTCGGGGAAAAAAAAAAATATCTCTCCCCAGATGTAGATCTAGATTTTGCTTCATTTCGCTCAGACATTTAACGGCGTGTACACACACGCGGAATCACTCAGACATTTAACGGCGTAGACATACACGCGAACACGCGGATATCTCAAAATGCGTATAGATAACACGCCACTTGACTTGAAAGTGGCGTGTATGTTTACGCAAAAGTCATGATGTCATGTTGCATGTCACATGATCCTTCAGATCCTTGCAGCTCATTTCTTATCATCACTGTTGAAAACAGTTTTAATATTTTTTGTTAACTGTCATACATTTTTTTCAGGATTTTTTGATGAATAGAAAGTTTTAAGAAATCTTTTGTAACATTATAAATGTTTTAATGTCACTTTTGATCAAATGAATGTTCCCTTGCTGAATAAAAGTATTAATAAACAACAACAACTTACGATCCACAAAGGTTAGTGTATATTTAATAATGGACTGAAAACTGAAAAAATATATATTTATTTAATTAAATAGTTTTTATTCATTTATATATTTGTTTATTCATTCATTGTCATAAATTATTTCATTATTTAGTGCCATAACAGAATCCAAAAGAATTTAATGGTAAAATAAAAGTAAAAAAAAAGGGAAATAAACATTATTAAAGGGATACTCCACTTTTTTTTGGATATAGGCCCTATGTATAGTAACTATGCTAGTCAATGAGACCAGAAACTGTCTAGTGGTTACTGATATTCTTCTAAATATCAGAAAATCGGCTGAATGGATTTGAAAACGGTAAAACTCAACTGTTCAACTCTGGGGGAGTTGTAAAATGAGCATATTTCCAAAAAAGTGGAGTATCCCTTTAAGGATAATCAAATCAGAGATTAGAAGAGAAAGTTCCTGGTTGAAAGTGTTCTGAAGTCTCTTACTGGCTGCCTGGATGAATTTGGAGTAGACGTTATATGTGATAACTGGAATGGGCAGATCTCGCAAATAAAGCTTCAGAGCTCCAGCGATTATATTGATGTCTGAGTAGGTATTGGCACTGATGTCCGCCTTCTCGCCATCTACGGAGGAGAATTAGTTTTCTGTTATGAATATGAATACTTCACCAAGAATACATCGTTTTGACTGGACAAAGCCTGGGCTTTTCCATCCAGGTTGAATGTTGATAGAATTACAGTGATATAAATGACTTTGAGTTCATCCAAGCATGGAAGAAAATGCAAAGAGACCAAATATTTGGTCAACACCTATAATACACAATCTAACGGTAGAAGAGTTATTCGACTGCAAACCTCTATCGAAGGCCAGCCGGACATCTTCTATGTGGTCTGTGAAGCCTGACACTCTGTACAGACCCTCTGATTTCAAACCTGAAAGAAGCAGAAGCAACACCTATTTACTTGAACTACCCAGACAGTGGACTTGGAGGACATGTATATTTAAGAAAAAAAAAACAGTATTTATATATAAAATATTTATATATAATATAAATTATATATAAATCTATATACAGTATGAAAATATTTCTTAAATATATACAAGCATGTATGTGTAATATCTATACAGTATATCTATACAGTATATGCAAACATTAGCAGATGATTTTCACAGCATTTAGTTAATCATTAATGTGATAATTCTCCATGTGGATGTTGCATATTGAGTTTTCACCTCTGAGGTTATCTCATTCCATCTGTAAATTATAGCTCAGGTTGCACAATGCTGTGACATTTTCTGAAGAAATAGTTATGTAATGTTAGTGTGAGTGATGAACAGTCATGTTTACCATTCCATGATGGCATACTTGTCAAGAGTGCGACACACACGGCCATCTACGCGAATGTAAAAGAAAACCAAGCCACCTTCTTTCATTGCTCGGTGGTCCAGTTCTGATGCTCACGAGCCCACTGTTGGTGCTTTCTGCGGTGGACAGGGGTCAGCATGGGCACCCTGACAGGTCTGAGGCTATCGAGCCCCATACGCAACACACTGCGCTTCACTGTGTATTCATACACCTTTCTATCAGAACCGGCATTAACTTCTTTGAGCAATTTGAGCTACACTAGCTCATCTGATGGATCGGACCACACGGGCCAGCCTCTTCACTCCCCACTAGCATCAGTGAGCCTTGGCCGCCCATGATCCTGTCGCCGGTGCACCACTTTTCCTTCCTTGGACCACTTTTGATAGACACTGACCACAGTTTTGGAGATGCTCTGACCCAGTCATCTACCCAACACAATTTGGCCCTTATCAAACTCGCTCAAAACCTTATGCTTACCCATTTTTCCTACTTGTAACACATCAACTTTTGAGGACAAAATGTACAACAAACTTAACAAAGAATGCTCTCTTTAATGAAAGGCGTTAACCAGTAAGTCATAATGTGAAGAATGTTAGCTTATCTTCCTGTTGTTTTAAGTTAGGCATCTAACACATTTTAATATGACAGGGTGATGGTGATTAATTGCCTTGCTGAAGGCCACAAAAGAAGGTTTGAGCCTGGGATCTCCATATTAAAATGTTCTGATTATTTAAAGCACTCCATTTTAGAAGCGATCAGTACCTCTGTGCTCGATCTCTTTGATACACATGTCCAGAACCATCGGCCGCGGCGTGTTGTGGGCTTTGACCAGCGTGGTGAGATCACAACTGAAGACCTTCTTGATCCTGCGCAGGTCTGGCTGACAGTCGCTGGGCACTAGTTTGGAGCACTGTTTGTGCACGTTCAGCCCGCAGTCTGCAAGAGCAACAGGTCAGAGGGTTAGAGGAGCATGAGACAAAAAGACGGACTCCAAGAGACTGGAGCGGGTGTGTGTGTGCGTCTGAACGAGGGTATATCCTCAGGGCTAAAGTATACGTGCAGAGACAGGTGAGTGTCAGTCAAGCTGGGTGGTAAAGTGTAACAATATCTGTCACATGCCGCTGTGTGTTCGTGGCTCTGTCAATCAGAGAACGTAACCTTGAGTGACCCTGGGCGAGTTTTATCAGCAGGCCTACAGAACATACATACCATAGACTGTAAAAAATATGGACTAAGCGTCTGTGACATCACCCATAGACTTTCTGAAGAACAGTTTTGAGGCTGTTTATGGGGGGTATGGGCGGCGCCATACAGGAAAATCTTTGGAAATACAAAATACAAATGTTCAGAAAGGATACAGAGGTGGTATGATGTTTTGTGTCAGATCATGGCTGAGACGTCCAATTCCACTCGGCACAGCCCGTTATCAGCTGTCAATCAAAGTTAATCGCCCTTATTTGTCATATATTTTATATCTAAATATGATCTAAACTAACGAGTTAGAAAAAAATCCCCCCCCCCCCCCCCCCCCCCTCACAGTTGTCAGGCATGCGGAACATATCGAAAAATACAATAAAAGTCCATGGGACCAAACTGTAAACATATGAATTTATGCTGTGAAAACGGACATTTTAACATGACGTCTATGGATATTTGCTATTTGATATCTCCAAAAAGGAGAGACATGTTGAAATGATTTTTTGTGGTAATCAACATTATACAAGTGCTTTTGATTCAGTGTAACTTGTATTGAACCCAAGGCACATTACATGAACAAAATTCTTAGAATGATAAACACTTTTGATCTGTTCATTATTCAAAGTGATTCTGTTGCTTGGAATGTATCAGTAGAGTCACATGCTACCTTTATGCTGTTTTTGGGTCCCATAATGATTATATTGGACAAAAACAGCTAAATTATTATTTTATGCAGAAGATAGAAACTCCCAAGAATTTGGAATGATAACTATTATTTATTTATATATATATACACACACACAGACACATATACTTAATTATGGTGAAACGTGTAAAAGTATTGTTCATTGTCATTTCATGTCAGCCATTGTATGAACTAATGTAATCACATTGAACTGTTAAATGCGACCATTTTTTTACTTATTACTGGTGCTTGCTCATATTCAGGGTTAGATATTTGTACAACCCCTTAAAGTATTCAACTTTTTGTGCTACAGACATGAATGATCTGAATCAGAATATATTATGAATAGAATATTTAGGGAATATCATTAAGACTTGAGCATTTCTTTTTCTTTTCTTGAGCTAGTACCCACCCAGGAAACCCATAGCAATGCTCTGGGAACCGCACCCAAGCATACTAGAGATGGTTCACAATTTCTTCAAAAAATGTAAAATGTAAAAAAAAAAAAAATTGGTAGCAAGAATTTTTCTAAAAATAATGAGTGCAAAAATGAGTGCCATTTAACTCAATAGATATTTTTGATCAACATCAGAAAAAACTACGCAGATTTCATGTCAGATTTTTTTGGGTGTAATAAACCTTTGATATTCGTCTTTAACACAGGTACAGTGGTGTGTGTGAAGTGTAATGTGGGAAAAGGGAGGCATTTGCATGCTGTCCCACTGTTCCTCATCTTCAACAATCCCATTAATCACTCTCTCTGTCCATTTACTGCCTGCTTGGACCCCTCCTTCACATCTTTACACCACAGAGAAAAAAAAACGAAAAAAAAAAAAAACCTCTGTGTCCTCCTCATGAGCCTGGGGACAAATTCAACTCTGCTCTAATTCTCAATGTGTCTGATGACACTGGCTCGCCCAGGGCCCAATGTGAAATAAGAGCCCCTGTGTGAAAAGAAAAGGCTTGAATAATGGCCCAAATGGATGAGACCATTTACACAGTGAGACAAACCAACACTAATGCCTTGTGACTGGATTGGGTTTACATACAGAGTGTTTTGGGAAAGTGCTGTCAAACAATAAACAGCGTTAACACGAGATCTAAACCAAACCTGTAATCATGACATTATGGTGCATTTGATTATCTAGGGCACACCAAAGAACATCCTGAATCGAAGATGGTTATCGATTTAATATGGCTGCTATTTTTATAGATATCTTTTTTTACAATTTTAATAAAAAACAAATACAGGGGAAGACAAAGCAACAACAACAAAAAAGTGAAACAAAACGAAACAAAATAAAGGTATCATTTATGCACCCTGGTGTTGTTCTAATGCCGTATGCCCTTCTTTCTTTTATGGACCACAAAATGAAACTTTTCAAAAAAGTAGAATGGACCAATGCTACACGTGTCTTACAGTATATCCCACATGAGTATACGATAGGGTTTGGTGAAAAACAAACTGAAATCCAATGTATTATTTAACAAAAAGGCTGACCTTGGCCGTTGTTCTTTTGTGCAAGGCTTCGTGAGATGCATGTTTGTGAGACTCTATTAGAAAGCTCAGAAAAAGCACACAGGTTGTGAGGCATCAAGGTGAACAAAAACATGACATGAAATACAACGCCTAGAAATCCCAATAAAGTATCTGTGTGCTTCCTTCACTGAGTCAAATATGACCAGACCAGAACTCCGTCAGAATAACTGTCGACCGATGTGAAAGTGATTACTTACAGTACGTTATGACAAACACAAGGCATATAGCTCAGAGAACGTACATGGATTGGATTTCATGTCACATTTTTGTTAGTCGTGATCACAATCAGAGTCTCATGAATGCGCAGCTGCATAGAAGACTAACGGCCAAGGTCAGGATTTTTGCTAAATAATACATTACATTTTCATCAAACCCATACACTCCTTTAAGGGAGATCACCCTGTCACGGCTTATTTAGCGATAATGGATGTCTGACAGAACATTATCCCTTTATTAATGCCACAGCTAACATAAAATATGAATGAACAATATCAATAATTTCATTAATTAAGTTAATTAATAATATTAAATTATATAGTTAATAGGTTACTTTTAGCTTACCTTCTAAATACATTTTATAAAAAAATACATTAAAGGCGTTGTTCACCCAAATTTTTTTTAAAGGTACCCTGACATGGGGTTATTTTATAATTTCATAAAGGTTGTCCTTATAATGTTAGTATGTTTTTTAGATCAAAAATAGTCATAATTTAGAAATAAAAGGCATTTTTCCTAGCCTGATTTTAGCCTCTGTTTGAAGGGGCGTGTCTGCTGTGGGATTCAGTGTAACCGCCCATTGCTGTGATTGGCTGACATGCTTGCATATGAAATAGCTATATATTACATGCGAAACTTTCTCGAATACTTTTACTACAGCTATTATACGTTTTTACGAGATTAACGAATCGTGAGAAGTTTTTAAAAGTATTTAGATCTATTCCCATTATATAAAATGTTTCTGTGATGAGCATTGATCAAGCAGAGGACTGTCTGTTGATCACGAGAATGAAGATCTTATCATTGCAACGCAGTTTCTGCACTCTCTAATACTTTCACCAATGCAGACACGATGATGTACATACAGTAAGAGCTTCGTTGTGCAGTGTAACGTGCGTCATTGATTTCATAATGAGTTGTCCAGATAAACTCGCGCTGTGTGGAAAGATTGTTCTTTGATCGCTTTCTGTATAATTTGTTCAGAATTTAAATAAGATTATTTTCATCCTACTAAAAGAAATGATGTGAAGTTGATATTTTAGTCACTGGCTTGACTTACTAATGCATAAACAGTATTGAATGATTTTGAGAGAAAGATTAACTTATCTGTCTGAACTTGAACAAGTAGGTTACACATCAGAAATTGTTGCTTGGTAGCTTGATCGATTTATTTTCAGACGTTCAACGAGTTGTTTCTTCAGAGGCTCGGATGAAGGAACTAAACAATACTTGTGTTCAATTTGTACATCCGAACACTGATCAACTGCCATGCTTCACTCGTTTGATAGACGTGTGATATCTCTCTTGGAAAAACTCAAATCGTGCACACGCGTTCGTACTTCCTAGCTCATTTTCTCATGGGCGAGCCAAATTTTCCGGGGCGGGCAAAGCAGAAAAAGGGGAGGTAACCTTTCCTCGACATGACGTAATAACGAGGAGATTCAAGATCAGCGCGTCTGAGCTGCAAAGAAGAGAAAAATAGCCAAAGTTTTAGCCAAACTCGGTTTACTCCGATTGAAAATTCTAGACACGAGGGGACCAAATACAGGCTAGGGGAACTAATATTAATGTTAAAAAAAACTCAGAAAATGAAAATTTCATGTCAGGGAACCTTTAAAACAAACAAACAAACAAACAAACAAACAAATCACCTTTTGTGTTGGACGGAACAATATAAAACAATAATAATCAATGAACAATAGTATACACATAAATTAACCTAGATTAATAAATGCTATAAAAATGTTGTTCGTTGTTAGTTTATGATACACGATTCTTTAATTTGAAAGACTTTTACTTGAAATTTGACTTGTAAAGTTAGTGCATAAATCATACACCTCACTTCTACAAAGTAACAAAGTAACTGATACAGTACAGGGTGTACAGTATGTGCGTCTAAGCATGTGTTTATATACGTCAAGTGTAGCCTGATTCAATTGGCATTAATTCAAGACTGTCCTGGTTCACCTGGGTGTGCCTCTCTCACAATACTCTATGGTGTATACACTATGTACAACATCTATAAATAGTCAACACTCAACAGAACGCACTCAACTGGTTTGGACCAGGTGTCATTTAGGAATTCAGAGTCCTACACATACTTCAGCATTCTAGTTAAAACCCTTATTGTCCCAGGTATCACTTTCAGTATTTAGCTTTAGGTTTCCACATAACATTAAAACATTTCTACAGGCAACTGAGCATTGTTATCAGGACAGCATCGTCTGGATCTTGAGCGGCTATTGATTGTAACTTGATATGAATAATGCTCCTTGGCTGGTGCCATAATTCTGATGGACAGTTTATTTGTGTGGGAGAGTTTGTGATTGGTGGAGGGTTACCTGAACAACGGACGCCCTGGGCGATAAGACCCCACATAAAGTTAGCACAGTATTCACACCAGTGCGGCCCTCTGAAGGTGTGCACCTACACCAAAGACAAAGATGTCATCATGAGTCACACAAACACACAATTTAAACTCATGCACACACTGCCTGTCTCAAACATAAAGATCAAAGCACAACACATTTACACTTTAGACCTATAAATGTACATAGAACCACTGACATTATTATTTTAGAAACTTTGGCAGGGTACTGTTCAAAATTGTTCATGTTCAATATTTTATTCAATACATCACCAATACTGCTTCCAAAACACATTTTGTCTAACCTTGATTGACTATGGTAAGCATAATGCAAGTGTTTATATTTTAGACCTGACACAAGGGTTTTTACAAAAAAATGCAGGTCTCGTCAAATCTGTAAATAAAGAAAAGTTGGTCCAGCTACTTTGTGTATGGAGTGGGTGTGGCTTAGTTTAATTAGCCTTTCGCCGGCCTCTCCCACAAAATGGCCATTGTCCAATCACACATCATAGCAACCGTTACTATGTGAGCTGGGCCACTTAAAACACAGACTCCAAGCAAGATGGTGAAGCGGTGCGCCCATGGCATTTGTAAATCGGACACTAGGTACCCCGAGAGATTGTCTGGAGGAGTTGTATTTTTTCCCTTTCCAAAGCCTACACATTTGTTTGACGCACGTAGCAACAGTAACTAGGGGGGGCGGGGCTCGGCGAAAGGCTAATTGTCACAGCGAGCAAGAAAGGTTGACATGGAGCAGCTAAATCTCCAATCTCTGGGGAGTTACCTGTTAAAAACGCTGAACAGAGGAGAATCTGCTAGCAAAAAGAGAAGGCAACATAGCTTGTAATAAAACAAGAATCAACATGGACTTGGCTTTTTGGAAATGGCGCAAACTGAGGGATTTGATATGTAAAAGCGATGCGGAGATTACAGATGCAACAGGTGAGTACAGTATTTTATTGAACAGATTAATTGCCATATATAGCTCTGTTACAGATTTCATTGTAAAGCATTATCTATTGTGAAGGGTCATTTCATTATTGTTGTTGTAATCTTGTGCCGGAATTTTTTTTTTTAAGGAAGTATTGTGTCTATTAATGGGTAACGCTACAGTAATGTCTTCAGCTTAGCTTGAGACCTACCATGCAATGATCAAAAAATGTGAGTCAGATTACAGGATTGCTAGGGAAAATAATGTGTCTGGCATCTGTTACCAAGCTGCTGAAAGTCACACGCAAAGCATGTTCCCATGCACGCCCTTGTGCTGTCAAAACACAACTCAAAGATTGACAAAAGAAAACACGTAACACGCAGGGTTTGTGGAACAAAACCCAGGTTTGTGAATGCTGAAATATAAATATAATGAAAATACTCTTTCATCTGTGTCCACAACCACTGGCTGTTCTCCAAAACCTAGCAAGCTGTCTACATCCTAACTAAAATACTACCCAATTTGAACCCTAAATAAGGCAGAAACACTCAATATTCATAGCATACATGATAGGGATGGGCAACGATTAATCGCATCCAAAATAAAAGTTTGTGTTTACATAATGTATGTGTGTGTAGTGTGTATAATTAATTTGTACATATAAATACCCACACATGCATGTATATATTTAAGAAAAATGTGTTATTAATATATCAAATATTTATATGTATATATAATATTAATTGTGAATAAATATATATAAAACATATATATATATATATACATGCATGTGTGGGTATTTATATATACAAATTAATTATACACACTACACACATATATATTATGTAAACACAAACTTTTATTTTGGATGCGATTAATCGCGATTAATCGTTGCCCATCCCTAATACATGACATATGGGCAAAATTGCCAGTTTGTTTGATTTTATTTTTGTGTAATGAAGCTAGCCCAATTTTTTGGTAACAATTACATTTTATTATATTACTTATAAACAAAGTTTTTATGAATTATTTTTAGGCATTAAGATGTGTTTCGGTAGCCTGGATGCCAGCCCGAACATTTTTTGGTCGGGAGGTTCGGTCTGGACTGGATCCATAGAGGAGAAATTATGATCAGGGAAAACATGTTCGGGCCAATCAAAAATGACCTTGCGCAATTTACATATGAATGGGACCGAAGAAGATGGAAAATCATACAGAGAGCAGCAGCTCTGACAGCCGCAAGACCACGCTCAACGCTTTGAGTGTGTGTTAGAAATCAGGAATGGTGAGAGAACATTGAGCTTGGACGGTTTTACGTCCTCAAACCAAAATTGGTTCTCCAGCCAACAAAGTTTAAAACCCCTCTGGCTAGCATGCCTGTAATGTTTACGCATTAGGTAAGTAGGCGGAGAGTCGTCTTTTATGAATCTCAGTAGCCAACATAAATTACGCAAAACGCTCTACGCACTGAGTGAGCTCACTAGGTTTTGGAACACAGCCTGTGTGAGAACACTTCTGGAGAGGTGGGCACTGAATAACCATGATGCTCTAATGACTGTAGGTGACATCATGAGGAAGCATCCAAGTGACACGTTGAAGTCAGATGATTGCTTCGTTTTGCTTTGTTTGAGTTTTAAAAAGTCAGAAGATGATACACTGAGCTCATTCTCAGCTTCAGTCATTTATCAGAAACTGAAAAGGCATGAAATGGGAAACTCCATTCAGCAGCGAGAGGTTATTGATTTGTGCGATCAATCTTATCAGTCAATAACGCTGTTAATGGATTAAAAGCCTAGGCAATTAGGCTCATAGGATAGATTTAGGCTTATTGATACGAGGCTCAAAGTACCGTGCATTTAAACGCTGTCAGCACATAAACATTTGAATGAGACATTAGTAAACATTCGAACAACCTCATAGTACCGGCACATTAAGAGTGAAATAAAAGTGAAGGATTTCATCAGGCTCAAAATCAACATTTCAAGTTTTGGTAGTTTTAAAATGAATTAACCATCCAATCAGAACATTTGAGAAATCGCAAACACACACACACACACATATACATACATATATATATATACATATACACACACAGGATATATTCAGTGTGTGCAATCTCAACATTTAAAGGAATATTTCACTTAAAAATTAAAATTCTGTCATCATTTACTCATCCTGAAGTGGTTTCAAACCGGTATGAAATTCTTTTGCTGAAAACGTATTGTCGAAAACAGGTTTGAAACAACTTGAGGGTGAGTAAATGATGACAGAATTTTCATTTTTAAGTGAAATATTCCTTTAATACAGGCCGCTGAGTACAATAACTGATAATTCTGCATGAAACATTTGTGTTTACATTCAAATGTTCTACATGTAAAAATGAAGGCAATTGTGAGATGACATCAGTAATATCCACATTAATATTGTTACAATTGTTACAATTTAAATAATAGCCATTACTCCAGGCTTGAGTCACATGACCCTTCAGAAATCATTAGAATATTCTCATTAGAATAATCAATAGAACATTTATTATTATTATCAATGTTGAAAACAGTTGTTCTTCTTAGTATATATTTTTTCCAGTATTCTATGCCACTTCTGATTTAATGAATCTTTGCTGATTTTTTTATTATTTTATTACTGCTCTTGACCATAATTCTGATATGACGTACAGTAGTCGCTACACAACCAGTACTTACCTTAAAGTTGTGAATCTTCTCGTAGTTGCAGTGTTTCTCTGGTCCATCCTTGAGTGTGGTGCGTCTACTCAGTGGTGGCGGGGTGATCTGTGAATAAGCCAAAATCTTTAGAGGCTTCCAGAGGAGGGCACCTTTACTGCCCAGATTCACCCCCAGAGCTAGCGCCAACAACTCCTGGTGCTTACGGTCCTTCTGCTTAGCTTTGTGAGGGGCTAATTCACCTTTTGCTGACCCCTTAGTGCCAACAACTAGGTCCCTGGTCCTCAGAAGATCCTGCATCTCCTCTGTAGAGGAAGATGACAATGATGTGGAATGGGGGATAACAGAGGCAACTGTCGTCTTCACTCTTTGGTAATCTGGGTCGAATGAGAAGGGGGACAGCCTGATCCTGCATGAGCAGAGCAGGGCTGGGCTGGGGGTGGGTGGGCTGCCTGGGGGCAGGAGTGTGTCTCAAACAATAGCACACATTCAGTGGCAACACAAGAGAGGGGAGACATTGGGAGGAGGGAATGTGTCAGTCTTGTAGATACATCTCAACAGGTTTCCACAGTAGGATAAATGGAATCCAGAACACAGCAGGATTATTATTGTTAACTACAATGCTGCCTCACACATGACAGGCGGACACTAATATATATATATATATATATATATATATATATATACACACACACACACATACATACATACACACATATTAGTGCTGTCAGCTGTTAAATTGCATCTAACATAAAACATTTTGTTTATATAATACATGTGTGTACACTCACCTAAAGGATTATTAGGAACATCTGTTCACAATTTCTCATTAATGCAATTATCTAATCAACATGGGAGTTGCTTCAATGCATTTAAGGGTGTGGTCCTGGTCAAGACAATCTCCTGAACTCCAAACTGAATGTCAGAATGGGAAAGAAAGGAGATTTAAGCAATTTTGAGAGTGGCATGGTTGTTGGTGCCAGACGGGCCGGTCTGAGTATTTCACAATCTGCTCAGTTACTGGGATTTCACACACCATTTCTAGGTTTTACAAAGAATGGCGTGAAAAGGGAAAAACATCCAGTATGTGGCAGTCCTGTGGGCGAAAATGCCTTGTTGAAGCTAGAGGTCAGAGGAGAATGAGCCGACTGATTCAAGCTGATAGAAGAGCAACTTTGACTGAAATAACCACTCGTTACAACCGAGGTATGCAGCAAAGCATTTGTGAAGCCACAACACGCACAACCTTGAGGCGGATGGGCTACAACAGCAGAAGACCCCACCGGGTACCACTCATCCCACTACAAATAGGAAAAAGAGGCTACAATTTGAAAGAGCTCACCAAAACTGAACAGTTGAAGACTGGAAAAGTGTTGATGGTCTGATGAGTCTCGATTTCGGTTGAGACATTCAGAATTTGGCGTAAACAGAATTTGGCGTGTAATGGTGTGGGGATGTTTTCTTGGCACACTTTAGGCCCCTTAGTGCCAATGGGGCATCGTTTAAATTCCACGGCCTACCTGTGCATTGTGTCTGACCATGTTCATCCCTTTATGGCCACCATGTACCCATCCTCTGATGGCTACTTCCAGCAGAATAATGCACCATGTCACAAAGCTTGAATCATTTCAAATTGGTTTCTTGAACATGACAATGAGTTCACTGTACTAAAATGGCCCCCACAGTCACCAGATCTCAACCCAATAGAGCATCTTTGGGATGTGGTGGAACGGGAGCTTCGTGCCCTGGATGTGCATCCCACAAATCTCCATCAACTGCAAGATGCTATCCTACAAGATGCTATCCTTTTTTAAGGCAGTTTTGAAGGCGAAAGGGGGTCAAACACAGTATTAGTATGGTATGGTGTGAGACAGAGAGAGACTGTGAATGCTCCCCTTGGTGCCGACCATGACTGGAACACAGCACTTCCAGACACGATTCCACTGAAATTCCCTTGAGTGCGTACGATCCTACATCTTAAAGCCAAAGAGCTCAGCTTCTCACTTTTAGAGTAGGAGTAGGTTCTCTCTCTCTCAAAAAAAGAGGTCTTTATCAGGTCTAGTCTCTGTCTAGCATGTACACTTTCATGGGGTTTAGCCTTCAGTCTCTTCACTTCTGATCGTAACTTCAGTTACAAATCGGATCAGGATTTAGGCAGCTTACAGTCGTAATCCTGCATCACGGAAAGAAATCCTGTAGTGCCAGAACCCTTTGTTTAGGGATTCAGACTTGTTTAAACCCCATTTAAACCTAATCTTATCATTCATTTCGGGTAATCTAATAAAAAGTGGGTAGTGTAAGACAGGAATAAAAATATTTTGTGATCTGGATCACTCAAACCATATATGGGGGCCACAGAAAAACAATTGGTGCAGGGTTTGCTTTTATGGCATTTTCACCTTTATAGTCTGTGGGTTTTTTCTGCTACTTTTTGCCTATTTGGATTATTGGGGTTTATACACCTAGACTTTTTTAGGTGCTGTGAATTTTTGGTGTTAAAAGAAATTAAACTTCCAATCTCAGGACCATCAACCCTTGTGACCAGATCATCTAAGACGGATGTTAATGAGTACTAAGTGCAAGTAAGGACTCATGAGCTGCATTTCCACTGTCGGACTCGGACCACAACTGAGCGAGACTCATTTTTCAAGGTGGGGGACCGTGACCCTTCTCAGCAGGAGGCTGATGCCGAATCCAGCAACATTGTCTGGGTATTTGCTGAAACATCCTGGAGAACACACATGAGACTTACTGACCTCACAGATACAGCACATCTTAGGGCTTAGTACGGGTGGCCGCCTGAGCCGGTCATTTGCATGATTACATCAATTAACAAAATGGTGAGATTAGGAACGAATAATGCAGATCTGATGAGTAAAAAAGAAAGAATGCTGAAGAGGAAGAAAATCAACCACGTCTCACATATTCAAGATATGTCGCATTCAGGGACATGATGTACCTGATTTCCCAGAAAGTGAGGTGGAGATGGCTGCAAGCCTGTCAGGGTTGTTCTGAGTAAAAGTATGAGGACAGCTTAAAAAGCACTGGTTTGGTTTTTATTGCTGCTGACCTCCACAGTGACACAAATTTTTGTGTGCTGGGGGTATAGGGCAGTTAACATGTGCTCTAGTGGTCGACCGGTATGGGTTTTTCACGGCCGATTCCAATATCTAGGGCACAAGGCACTGAAGGCAGCTGATGGCCAATATAATGGCAATTTTATAATCAATATAGAGCTGTTCAGTTTGTAGTCCTAGAACGGATTCCCTCTGGAATTTCCTATGTTTTTTTCCCAATTTTCCCCTTTTGGTTTGAGTAAAATATATATTTTTTTATAATTTTAAATTATTTGCTTAAAAGTTGCTAAATGAGGTGTGCACACAACAATTTAAAACAAGAAAGTCTCTATAGGTAATGTTAAGCACAGAATCACTTTAGAATACTTTTAAAAATAGTACTTATAATGGAAATTATATACCGGTACTTTAAAAGTACATATAATTGCAAACTGAATGTAATGTATTCAGAAACTTAACTGCATGTTAACTGCAATTAAATTAAAAGTGTGTTGAGAACAGTTTTTTTTTTACTTCCTTAATATTATATGATCTCCAAGTACAGTTTAATTAAACTATCATTTTAAAATTTGAACAAGTGCGTATAAAACAATTAAGTGCACTTCTTTTTCACAAAGTCCAAAAAATAAGATATACAACATTGCTAAATTACAACAAATAAACTATTATTTCACACTTATTACTCAAAAAAACATAAAAAAATGAGCATTTACAACATAACCTAACACAAGAGGCTTGTCAAGGCCAGCACAGTTATGCACAGCCAATGATGATGATCTCAAAAATCCAAACTGAAAACCAACATCCAGTTGCAATACCAGTAAACTGCAATACCAGTAAAAACAGTGACTTACTGAGGGTCACGCATTTAAGAGATACACATTTAAAAGAAAAGATAAAGGGATGTTGGCGAGTCACATACAGTGATACAGGGGAAGAGGGAGATGGGGCGCACAGAAAGTGTGAGTGAATGAGCAAGACTTGCACTTTTTGTCCTAAGGCAAATGGCTTCTTGTCTCCTAATGAAAGCGGCTCAAAAGCCAAACACAAAAGGGAGACAATAAGGCCTGGTCTCTTTTTAGAGACCCCACAGATGAGGAGACTCTAGGGATAACTAGGGCACATAAAGTACGTACAGTAGAAAAACACATCCTATGCAATACATTCATTCAATACACTATTCAGTCATTCAAAATACTGTCTATCACAGTGTCAGCACAGCTGTAATATTAGGGAATATCTCCATCAATACTTGATCTTGGAGACCATGTGGCTGTAAATGACATAATAGATTCAAAAAGGACAAAAAATAAATAATTTTGTCAAACCGGCCAAATAATGAAACCATCCAATACACTGTGATTGTAACTAAGAGCAGACTCATTTGTAAGACAACCGCAGGAAAGTAAAAAAAAAAAAAAAAACATATTTCCAATCCTTCATTTTAAAAGCTGCAGTGCTGAAAAATAATGTAAACAACAATGATAAATCACCACAAAAGCTCAGCGCTAATTCTAATAACTCCGATCCATCATCAGCGAGTGGTTTTAGGTGGAACTTGCCAGGCCAGCAAAATATTTCAGCGATTACTGTTATTAGAGGAAGAGAGCCATGTGAACCCTGAGCTGCGTAGACAACCAAACAGGCAAGGTAAACAATTCATAAAGGTCATCACTCAAGAAACCTGCCGTCATAGAACGACACACCCTGATTCTGGTCCTTAAATGACAACGGTAAATGGTCAGGCACAAGTAAATCAAGACAGTGAAGTTAAAGGGATTTCAGGGTGTGTGAGGTCACAGTAAAATTTCAAGAGAACAAATTCCTTTATAATAAATGGATCATTAGGTTGATGATGGTTACCATTTATCCATTGTAACAAATTGGCTAAGCCATCGATAATTGGGTGAGCCAATTATCATGAAAAGCTTTAAATATAGATCCATATCAATCACATCGTTAAAACGCGAATGGTAGCTCATTAAGGGTTGTTATTGCTAATTAAACCAAAACTAAAACTACTAAAACATTTAAATAAATAGGTCACATTCCTATAATATTTAAATAAAGCTGAAATAAACGTATTGGAAAAATTGGCAACTAACTAAAATAAAATAAGTTGAAGTTCTAAAATGACTAGAACTGACACAGAAATAAATTTTAGCCATTTAAAAGAAGACAAAAATATAAAAATTAAAAACGGACGAAATATAAATGCTAATTAAAAATATGAATAAATCTTATAGTAGTATATAAATAATACTAAAATAACACTGATAAAGACACTTTATTGTAGTCACACTGTAATACAGCAGCAGTAATCACAACCAAAATTAAAATGATACCTGCAAAGTTATTATCATGAATCATTATAAGTCATACTGAGAATACCGGGCTGCAACAACACTGTAAAAAAATATTTTCAAGATTTGTCATCACAACATTTTTTCTTTTGTCAAATCAACTTAAATAATTTATTTAGTAGAGATAACTTATTATTTTGAGTTTCTGATGATTAAATCAATCTCCTTCATTGTATTAACTCACTTTTTCAAATCACAACATTTTTTTCAGTCCCACTTTATATTAAGTGGCTTTAAGTACTATGTACTTACATCGAAAAATAAGTAAAATGTACTTATTTTGTTCAGATTGTATTGTAAAACACTTTTGTTGCTATTGAGGTGTGATACGGGTATGGTTAGGGTTAGGTGTGGTTGTATAGGTCGGTTTAAGGGTGGGTTAAGGTGTAAGGGAAGGGTCAGCTGTGTAATTACAAATGTAATTACATTTATTAATTACAGCTGTATTTACATGCAGGTATTTTCCAAATATAAGTACAATGTAAAAACATGCATGTACACAATAAGTCCATTGTATCAAATTATTAATTTCAATGTAAGTACATAGTACTTAAAGCCACTTAATATAAAGTGGGACCTTTTTTTCTTTTGTCAAATCAACTTAAATTATTTATTTAGTAGAGATAACTTATTATTTTGAGTTTCTGATGATTAAATCAACCTCCTTCATTGTATTAACTCACTTTTTCCAGTTCAATCAACTTAAAATTTTAAGGCAACCAGGTTACTTCCGTTTTTAAGTTAAACCAACAATATTTTTTACAGTGAAAGGAAGAAGATCTTCTGATGTATACTGTATACAAATCCATATTCAGTTTGACAGCTTGTTGAGGCTGCCCTCTAGTGGACATCTGAACAAAGCTGTAAGATGAAAAGACTCCACTTGTTGAAGTGTGTTGAGTTCATTGTTATGAATTCAAATCCTTAAGCCAACTAAAATTATTTGTCTGGTGTCAGTAAACAAAAACAAATGTTCTCTATGATGCAACATGATTGTTTGAACACTTCCGTTGACTAATTGAAGAATGGTTTGATCATCGCTTTCATAGAGCTCATATGAAGAGCTATTTCACCTCAATAGTGAGGCAACAGAATTCATAAAGGTAGCAGTAAACCTGACTGAATTGATAAAACTCTCCTGTCAGTGAGCCAGACAGTGTGTCTGATTAACGAGAGAGGAGACAACACATTCATCGCATTATCGTTCATCAAAGATCCACACCCTGATGCTGAAACACTCGCCAACTCTTCTAATCTTGCAAACGCACACAAAGAAATGCTCCTTCTCATTTATCAAAAGACCATTCTAGTAACAACGATTTGTGAAAGGGTAGTGCCTGACACCATGATTTGGTCAAAGGAAAACTAAATGAACTGTGTTAACTCTTATCAATAAAACCTTGATGACATCTATGGGCAAATGCATAATGAAGCAGTGCCAGTGTCAATGTCCTGTTATCACTACACGCAATATTTACGATTACTGTAACTCTCTCACTGAATTCTGCATGTAAATGTCATCTCAAATACCAATGACGGCTCAGATAAAGAAAAATAATTCACAGCATTACAGCAGGTTAGTGTTGAGGGCTGAAATAACAAGCAAAACATGTCAAATTTATCCCAAGTCAACTGATTAGCCTATAATTAACATATACAATGAAAACAACAGAGGTCCTAAAACAGAGCCCTGTGGGATTCCACAAAAAAAAACGTGCCTTTTATGATTGATTTCAACAAAAATTGTCACAAATTTCTTCATGACCTTTATTTGGCACACAATGACCAAGGATTTATTATAATGTCTTGTGATTATGCAGTATATTATATATTTAATTCATATTTCCTACATTGCTGATATACTCTATAACCTTTATAGCATTATAATCTATATCTGAAGAGGTATACACCTTACCTTGTCATTCTGTTGGAAAGTCACTTTTTTGGGCTCAGAGCGGGTTCGGTTGAGTCGGTGAGTGATTTTGTCCCTCAGAAGAGAAGTATAGCCCAGGTGCTGGTAGATGGGGTTTGTGGTCATCTTGGCAATGTACTCTGCTGCCTTGGTCTCAATATAGAGAGTGATGAGACCGTCTGTAACCAGATCATGAACCGACTCGAAACGTTTTTCTCCCACAAAGTGCTTTCCATCATAAAACAGTCGGTAATTCAGAGTCTGGCCACCAAATCTGAATGATAGACAATAGTACTGCATATTATATTACTGTATATTATAATAATTATACTGTACATTGTAAAACAAAATATTTTGTTTAATATGATTTAAAGGGATAGTTCACTTTGAATTTTTGTTTTTGGTATGTTTTTAGCTTACCTCAAGGGCATCCAAGATGTACGTGTCTTTGTTTCCACAGTATTTTCAATTTTGATATTTTTAGGTCAAACCGTTCTTGTCTGTCAGTCAAATAATGGAGGTATATGGTCACCACCTCAAAGAGCATGCACACAGAAGTCCAAATTAAACATGATTTAATTAATTGGTATACATTGATGGCCTAAGACACGAAACGAGCAGTTTGTGTGAGAAAACGAACAGTATTTATATCGTTTTTACCTCTTTTAATCACAGCCACAAAGCGCCCGCGGCCTCAGATGACTTGGACGTGGCTGTGGTTACAAGAGGTAAAAACGACATAAATACTGTTCGTTTTCTCACACAAACCGCTCATTTTGTGTCTTAGGCCATCAATGTGTAATTTGGAATTCTTTGGCATGCTCTATGAGGTGGTGACCATAGACCTGCATTAAATGACTGACAGACAAGAACGGTTTGACCCAAAAATATCAAAATTTAAACTACTGCGGAAACAAAGACACCTACATCTTGGATGCCCTTGAGGTAAGCTAAAACATACTAAAAATGAATTTCAAAGTGAACTATCCCTTTAATATAACATAATATATTTGGATGGATAGACAGATGGACGGACATGTAGAGAAAGGATAAAGAATAGATGGCACGTACCTCAAAGCAAGTGTATAAGTTCCTGGTTGTCTCTGGCTCTCTCTGATGAGATAAGCACCTTCTGTCCCCGCCAGCAGTTCATCTGCACGCTCTCTGGAAATCAGACCATGGAACCTGTACAGAGACACCACGATTTACCCTGGTGTACACACACATACATATTCACATGCACAAACACGCTTGACACGACATAAATCATACAGTCTCTTCCTCATACATTCATATTAGCACCCTCACACACATCACTACACAAAATCGATGTGCACCACCACTCGTCTTCAATAATAAATTCTGCTAACTCACAGCAAATTTTCACATGCAAGGGGGTAAAAAGTAACTAGATGGCTAGAAGAAGTAATTTGAGGAATAGTAGTACTGATTCTTTGCTTTTAAAACACTACCAAAAAAGTAAGACACTCACTCTCTACCATAGTATTTGGGTCTGCTTTCCATCTGCAAGCCAGAGAGAAGAAATACAGTTTAACACAAAATCACTTTGTCAAACGGGTCAAGAGGTGGTAAAACAAGCTTTTCTAATGGTTAGCCTTTCTAACAAGATGAGCATTTTGTGAACAAGGAGACAGTCTAAACATAAGCTCCAGTGTTTAGTAAAAGATACACAGACTGAATCAATATGAGTCATGTTTGAAAAACCTTGGGAGTGTTTACACACATTTTTCTGTACTTACCTCCTGAGGACATGTGATCCTCTTTGGTCTTGACGCTTCTTGTTGTAATTGGTACACTGATAAACAAAACAAAAAAAATCTACCATTTTTATAAAATTATTATTTCTATATTTTGAAAATAAGAAAAGGTTATATTGATAGCGAGTCTTTTGGGATGAGGAGCAGCTCAATTCTACAGTTTATTCTACCTCTAATCCTTATAACGCTGTGGTGAGATGTTGGTATATTTAGAGCGTGTCAAAACACAGCATTCTCTCTTAGACATTAATCCATTAGGTCTGAGCTTGAGGACACACACCCACTTACACTGCTGTCAGGCTAAGCTACAACGCATTATAAAAGTGGATTGGGTAATATTGGTAAAGCTATTGAAAAATGAAGACTGCGCAAGAGGCAAACGGATAAATCAACACCAACAGTTGGTCAATATGGGAAAGGAGTACACGAAGGGCCAGTGTTCAGCTCAAATGGGTTTAAGAACAGATGTTTTGTTTGTGCCTGTTTGTGTAAAAATGTAGTACAGAGCCAGGAATTCCTCAGGTTATCCTCTCCTAAATAATCAGCTTGCAGAGGCAAGGTCAATTTGTGGTCAGTTCGCACAATATTCCTTTGATGGGGAGTTCATTCTCAATTATAATAATAGGTATTGAATTCCAAGCCATCACACTTCTAGTTAAAACTTTTCACAAGGGAAAATACACCTGTATCTCCTATTCAAATAAACAGACCTTGACAAGATGCTAAAGTGCCCCTCCAAATCTCTCTGCATTTGCAGTGGGTTTCTAAAGTCTGAGACTACATTGAAATTCTTTTTATTTAAACCGGGAAAGCATCATTAAAGTTTTAGGATTTTGAACACTGTAAAACAGAAACATTTCAGTAAATTGAATTAGAAATACTGTTTATGGAACCGTCAAACTTTCCTACGTATTATTGAATGAATCTCTTCTCTTTTATGATGTTTTAATGTTATAATGTTTTTCTCTTTTACATATTTTAATGTTCTGAATTAAAATATTTTTCCTATTATTGTGGCGGATTAACCCTAAAACAGTAGTCTGGACAAATGTGGGCAAAATAGTTTTGATTTATTTTTTAAAAAAAATAATTCCCTTCATCTGAGCGGTACAAGACTTGGCTACTTTTCCTAAGTTTGCCTCCTGAACACACAATTTTTTTGACTCAATTCTACAATGTTAAGTGGGTGAAAAAAACCCTCCTTAATCTTGTATTTGGGTCAAAAATGGGCACCCATGGAATTGAATGCGAAAAACTGTAATTCACAGCATTCTAAAATAAGCCAAAATAAGACACCAGGTGACTGCAAAGTCACTTCATCTTTAGGTTTTTTAGCTCTAAGAACTTATTGGAATGATATTTTAATGTAGTTAAAAAAATAAAATATAAAAATAAGCATAATTTACATAGAAAATATGGTACTTTTTGAAGTAAATAAATTCAAAAATACCCCCAAAATAAAAAAAAAACACCATAAATGGATAGACAAAACTTTATCGAAGACAGTGATATATAACATTTATAATGAATAAAAATTAGGAACACAATTGAGTCCTCTGTGCTCACATTTGTCCACAATTACAGGATTAAGGGCTATAAAGTGAATACGGTTTGAGGGCTACGTAAAAAATACAACTAATGCAATTGTACAGATATCATAATTAAGGGAGTTTTAAAAAACTCAAAAGAATAAATTCTTGTAAAGAAAACATTGGGTAGTTTGGCATAATCTTTTATTATTATTATTTATTAGAGAAAAAACAAAACTGAATTACTGCTTATTATTTGAAAAACTTTTGTCTGCCAAAGCAAAGTATTGTAGTGCAACAAGATCACTGTGATTTTGCCAAGTAAGTCTTGGATATTTTGTTGATCCTGGAACAACATTCCTGCCTGAAAATTCGGACTCCTAAACAGATCCCATATCCGTACCCCAAAACCTAATCCTACCCATTAGTTATCCCTAAAATCAGAGAGACAAGACAGGTAAAAGAGGACAAAATGCTGGTTGTAAGCCTAAAATTTACATAAACTGTAAACCTGTCTCTCAAATCTGATTGGTTGATTGGAATGTTATTCCAGGATCAACAAAGATGTTGATCCAGGAACATGTTGGTTCACCCTCTTGGGAATATCAGATAAATTGACCTTTTAAATGTCAAGGCAAGATTAGTTCAAGTTGTAAAATGTCATGTGCATGGGTTGAGTCACTTAAACGTATAAGTATAAAAATATTATATTCATATTACATTTTCAATTAAATATTTTCTCTTTATAATTCAAATTGAATAACTGATAATTAAATTTGTAGTTCAAAAAAATATATAACACGAAAGCATAATGAATAGTGGACTGTTGGACTTTTGGCAGTATATTATCAATCTGAACCATTTAGTTCTTTACTGCGAGTAAAAAAAGTTTAATAATGTGATTTAGATCATTGTGAAGAAATCAGCGGTAGTGAAATGATCAATACTGGCTCAAAAACAGCAGCAGATGTGCAGGGGTACTTCAACTCGACATGAACGTGACCTTCTCTTGATGACTTCATTAAAAGCTGCTCATCGTGCAGAGCAGCGATTGGCCGGCGCTGTTCGAGCACAGGCAGAATCTGGACTCAGCACTTAGATTTTTCCTCCCAGAGAGCAGGAAGGCATCTGACAGCGATGCCAAGATCTTGTCAAAGAAGCTCAGAACGAGCAGTGGGTTCTGGACAACGTCCACCAGAATGACAAGGACGGGGCCTGCTCTAAAAATACTGCACAGTGGGAGTGAATGCGAGGGAAAATGAGTTGAAATGTGGGACGGGCTCGAAAAATCAGAGATAATGCTCACTGGCCAGGAAAACCTTGACAAGTGAATCACTCCTGTGTCGGGGTCGGAAATTTACAGGATGAACATATTAAAATGCCACCACATTCAAGATAAGGGGGAAAGGGGTAACTCTGCACAATTAAACTAAATCGATTAGGCTGTTGCGATTTAGATTTAGATTTAGATTAGCAACCATTCAAACTGAACGAACAACAAAGTTCAGATATGATGCAAGAGATTCATTTTGCAGTGTAGACAGCTTGAGTGATTGTAGCATGAGTTTTTGTGAAAGTCATGGACCAGGGATTGGGAATGTTCTTTGCTCACTTTCTGAATTAATTCTCAGTTCGAATTAAAATTTTGTTTTTCATGCTGCAAAAAAAAAAAACAATGTCAAGTTTTGAGATTCTAATACATAAAAGGCAGTAAACTAAATCATAAACGTTCTCAGCTTGTTTTGTTTTTGTAGCCAGAATATGGCGTGCAACAATTTTACAGGTAAAAAGTCTATAGCATTTGATTGAATCAAGTAATTGACTAAATATAAATAAATTGGTTAAATGTTGGTCAAGTATATGATATAAAACGAGAAGGCAAGTATAAAAAATTGCTCTTACAAAGCTGAAAAAGCTCCTATAGTAATAAATTCCAATTTGCTTTATAATGGAAAGGAACTTTTTTCATTTCTGGCCCTGATTCCTGTTCCCTTTGCCCAATGCCAAACCACATTTCCCATGATGCAATGTTCTCATGTTTAAAGCCCAGATTACTGTATTTCTTCAGTCCATTGTGTTTTTTTCTGGTTGTTAGTGAAGTCAAGTCTGTCAACTGGATCCAATGGAGACTTTAAAATGATGTCTGTACATGTATAATATTAGAAGAATACTTACAGTAGGATTTCCATATCGGTGGCTGATAATCTTCAGGATCTACAACAAAGGATCAAAAAAGAATGTGCTAAATTAACACGTGTTAAAATAATTGTCTCTTGTCTGCATGTTCTCACTTAGCACAGTCTATAAAACTTACTGTCAGGTTAGAGAGTGGCTGTAATCCAAGGTTATTATGTTGTTTCCTTAATGTCAAGTTATTCAAGATGTGATGCGTAATGTGCATGGCACTGACAATATAATCCGTCCTCTACAATGCCTTCGGGGTACACATCTTTTAACGCTTCTATCATTTAGTTCCCCAGCTCAAAGACAATACATATACAAATGTGTGTTTGTTTAACACACCCGTACAGCTAAAACACGCATGTTTTATAATTTAAAACACAAGGGCTGTCAATCGAGTAAACACTTTAACCAAATTAATTACATTATATGCAAAATGCAGATTAATTAATAAAATTAATCACAATTAATTGCATTTTGCATATTTAAATTTAACTTGCTGAGAAAAGCCCCCACACAAAGGGAATTCAAGGACGTTGACATTTTTTTGTTGCAGAAAAATTCAAAAATGGATTTAGAATGTCAATATACTGTTTGTTTGCTTCCTCTTACATTCTGTTACAGTTTGTAGCGTTACATCGAGTTGATTTTGAACTTGGGCAGATCAAAAGAGAGCAATCTGTTTCACTTATTAATATGGTCATTCTTGAGGGAGATGAAGGTTAAATGATTTTGGTTTGCAGCCCACCCAGGATGACAGAAATGAATAGAAATAAGGTGGAGATGGGGTTGTGGGAGAGTGACAGAAAAATTCCCACAGAAATTAGATAAGATACTATAATGTTATTGACATGCTCCTCCCGAACAGAGCTCCATTCTATGTTTCCACCGCAGAATAACTAAGAAAAAAGGTAATTGCAACTTCTTATCTCTTTAAATCAGTCCATTTTTATCTAGCAATTTTGACTTTATTTCTCTCAATTGTGATGTATAAACTTGCATTTCTGACTTTTTCTTGCAATATATAACTCACAATTCTGGCTTTTTGTCACCCATTTGCGAGTTATTAATTCCAAATTATTAACTGCGGGGAAAAATTCTGAATGATGAGATAAAAAGTCAAAATTACCTTTTTGGTGGAAACAAGCTTCCTGTTAAAGCTTTGGGTGACTATCTAACTTCAAATAACATTATGGTAAATACTTTCAAAACTAGGATGAAATAAATTAATGGGGAAGCAGCACCTCTAGTAAGAAAGTCATTTCTCAAAGGAACACAAGTCAGAGCCTGACATGTTTTAATATGGCTGTCGAGCACAGACAGCCTGGATATGGAGGTTCATTGTCATACATTATAATGAGAAAGGCAGTCCTGTCCGTCTAAAACACAACACCTTAAAACAATATTTTAATTCAAATATCTCAATTACTGTTTAACATGTTCATTTAATACAGTAAATTACTTTTACACAAAAATTAACACATTTAATCATGCCCTCCTGACCTGTAACTGGAAACATTCATAGGCTATTCTCACTCTTGTGCCACCTTTAAAAATTACTAGAGGTGGACCGATTAATCTGTCGGCCGATTATTCGGCAGATTTTTGGCATTTTTCAACATAATCGACATCGGCCTATATCCAAGTATATCAAGCCGATTATTAGGCAGGTGCATCATAGGTGTTTGACGCACGCTGCTGCTAGATTCATTTTTCAGCCGAGTGAGCAGCAGAAATATGTTATTGTTAGAAGTTAAATTAAATAAAATATAATAAATCTTATATATAAAAAAATTAAATCATTTAAAGTTTTTTTTTTTTCCTTTTTCGTGATAATTAGGTTATGTCCATTTGTCTATGTCCGTCAACAAACAAAACAAACCAAAAATACATGTTTCAGGACATTTTTTGAGAGGATAAAAAGTTTTTGTTGAGAAAGTTTGTCTATGTTAAGTAATTATCATTTCTTTAACATTTTATCTTTCAAATAGAGGTTAAAAAACCAAGCAAATATCGGCCAAATATCAGCCAAAATAAACGGTAGCATTAATCGGCCATTGGCCGACCCGGATTTCAAAAGATCGGCCATATCCATGAAATCCGGCCATGAAAAAAACCATATCGGTCGACCTCTAAAAATTACAGTTAAAATGCAAAAACTTGACACAAAGTACACTCTTTTTAAATCAAAAACAAAACTGTGGTGCTAATCAGAATTTCCTCATCCAGAAAATCTCTGATCATTCATAGAAAGATTACCCAAAAAAACTTATTGCATCATAAACAATGACACACTCATTGTGTGTGTCTGAATTGAGAATACAGCCCTGGAAAGTGTGTGAAAGTTCAGAATGACTGCATGATCTTGTGTGTGTGTGTGTGTGTGTGTGTGTGTGTGTGTGTGTGTGTGTGTGTGTGTGTGTGTGTGTGTGTGTGTGTGTGTGTGTGTGTGTGTGAGAGAGAGAAAAAGACAGAAGTAGATCGAATAAGAAAGATAGAGTGGAAAGTAGTAGCCCTTGTTTTCTTTAAGTGAAACAATCTCTTTGAACGTATAAATCAATGCGTGTTTTTTTCTCTTCCCTGAATACGTACTGGTCTCTATGGATCCATGTCTTATTTCAGGCACTGTCTCTTTTGATGTCAGCACTTTACTGCGGCCAGTCAGCATTTCCTCCCTGCCTACACACTCGCAACTAAACACAAGCTCAAAGTCCAAACCACAAACACACCGTCCAAACCTGCAGCCAAACATACAACAACTGTTATACAACATAAGCTTGCTCTGTATATGTCTTGTCAAAGTTGTAAACATTTTGTCAGATTTATTTATAAAGCCACAGGTAAAAAGAACACAAAAACTGAGCTACCAAGCTTCGATACTCATGATGGCTTGACTTGGCAATAGCTATGCTGAGCCAGAAGGAAAGGATTGTATGGTTTGAGACTTGGCATGTGCTTGCAAAGAGAACATTTACCAAGAACATCAAGCGATTTAGTCCTTTTCTTTCTGGAAGATGATGATATAACGAGGATTAAATGTTGGCTGAGGTTTAGGTTTGTGTTTTTCTGGTCTGAATCCTTTGTAATTTATGACGAAGTGTGTAGCAAACCCTTTTACATGCAGGCAGGGAAAGATATGAAGAAATTTTATATTCTCTGTTCTGTGGAACACAAAATCAGACATTTAGAAGTAGGGCTGCACAATGCACGGAGAGGGGGGGGGGATTGCGATTTGTCGCATACAGCATAAATATGGCTGTTATAATTTATTAATTTTCAAATCGCAGGGGGCCCTTAAACCTTCTTTTTTGTTGACGATTCTCATTACAATTTTGGGAAGATGGTTGCTGTTAGCGGAGTTCATGTGGAGCACCATTTAAAGTGAACTGAGCCACTCTAAGGGTGCGTGAACTCACACTTGGCAGGATTGCTTTGACAAAAACAGAAACTCTTGTTTCAGTTCGGGTTCATTTAAATTAGCAATGCTGCCATCCGGGCACTGATGCGCCCCAGTCAAGCAGACTGAGACCCCTGAAAAGGTTGGTCTCGGTTGGCTACCAAACGGACTCTGGTGAAATATGAACGCAACAGGGACAAAGACATCTAACCGACCTGGATATGCATGATGTATAATACATTATGCATATCCGGCAGCATAATGTCTTAATTTTTATTTTAATTGTAGTGTCTTAATTGTAGTAATTTTAACTGCAGCATGAAATGTGTGATATACATATTGAATTGTATAATATTATTAATGTAGACAATGTATTAAATGACTAATGGAACATAAGTACATTATTTAATAAAGTATTTAACTGTTAGGCTACTGTTTTTCATACAAATACCAGAAACCATAAAGAGTTACATTTTGCCATAATAGTAATTGCTAAGTTATAGGCTATGCCTGGTTTTATCTGTGGTTATCATGATCTAAATGCATGATACTGGATGACCAATGGTTCATTTGAATAAAATTCAAACAGTCATAAATATTACATTTTACCAAATAAAAATGTGGTCGCTGGTCATTACATAAAAAAAAAAATGATGTTACTGTTTTTGTTAATGAACATAAATGTAACATTAGCTTAGTATTAGCTTGAGTTAGGATGCAGATTTACTGTCAACTTACTGTCAAATATGCATTTCGAGACAAAACATGTAATTTGAATATTGCAGCCTGCACTGCAAACTGTGCTGAAGAAATTTATTTTAAGGAAAAATGTTTGAACGTTCTACCTCATATTATGTATGTATGTACATTATTATGTATGTATGTATATTATGAATGTTCTGAATTGAATGTTCAACCTCATATTATGTATGCATGTATATTATGTATGTATGTTCTCGTACTAGAAAAATTGTGCTCTGAGGCACGGGATATCTGACATGGGATATCTTCTCTGGTAAATTTCTTCTGTTCAGTCCGTTGATGTCAGACGTCTGTGAGTGAAAACATGAACACACTGGAAAGCCACTTTATAGTAGAAAACGGCTGTAATCCTGAAGAAATTAGACATTGGCACTGGTTTAAATGTGTAAAGCTGCTTGCTTTTAAGCGATCTATTGTAAAAAGTGCACCTTTAATTAATGTATTAAATGGATTAATTGTGCAGCACAACTTTGAAGAGTGTATCAGCTGTTTTTGTCCATGCATGGAAAGTCAATGGGTTCAAAAACACCACTGATTGAACTCATTTGACTTGCATTGTATGAACAGAGAACAAGACATTTTTCAAAATATCTTCGTGTTCCACAAAAGAAAGAAAGTTATACAGGTTTGGAACAACATGGGGGTGAGTATTTTCATTTTTCTGAGAACTATTTCTTCATGTGGGCAGCCCAGTATCCACTTTACAGTAGTCAAGTGAGATAGATTAGCTTTCAATCAGTGTTTATGTGAGCGTATGTTTGGATTAGTATGAAGCTGTATTGTCTGTTGGAGCTCAGGAGTGCGACAAAGCAAACAATCAAAAAAAAATATATATATAAATATATTCTTCAGTGGCTCATTTGGAAAATTTATG